ATACTGTCTTACCACACCGAAGCGTCGGGCCGAGACGGATCAATCAGGACCAAACAGCCGCCCGCCAAGATTCCAGAACCGGCACGAGCCCCCAATTGTTAAGGAAGAAAATATTCTAAATAGTTAACTTTGGAAAAAGGTTGGGTGTTTCTCTTCCTCTCCCAGGTGCGCTCAGCGAGCTGCGTGTGGCCCCCAAGGAAAACCAGCAAGATATGCGAACGTCACAGAATCACACAATTTAATCCAACAAAAAACAACTTATGAATTAACAACAAAACTGCAGAACAACAGAGACATACATTCCATTACCTGACATAGGAGGAAAGAAAGCAAAGAGTACAGAGACATCTTTGGAGAGTTGCAAGGGCAAATCTGATCTGTAACTTCTATTTAGAAAGCTTTATCCTCTTGTATCTAATCCATTCAAAAAGGGCTGGCCCTCGGTCCTCCAACCAAAAGCCATCTCTGACACTGCCTAAAACTTTACCTAATTTACTGCAAACATCTGGGGTCATTTGCTTCTTTGTTTTAACAAGAAAAGGCGGAAAGCTTGTCCTGGCATCTAGAATTCTTAAAGTCATAAAACACAAGATAAGCTTCCACAGACAGCTTGTGGAATGCGGGGGCCTTTTTCCTGATTCAGTTTCACACCATCCCTGGTTGTTTATTCTGGAAGACTTTTGACCTTCTGTAAACCAAGCAGAAATCTCTCCTGCAGGCTTAACTGTTATTCACCCCCCAGGAGATACTCATTCTATTGCCTGGTGCTCTAAATACTTACCCATTAGTAGTTTTAAATCATCAACACAGCCTTATTCAAAATTAAGAAATATGTTCAAGTGAGAGTGTTTACACATGCCATAAGATTAACTGTATTAAAGTCTAAAAAATAATCATTTTTTCTTTAACACTCAGTAATCAATGGGTAAGAGGTGGTCCGCAAGTCCATCGCAGGGCTACACAGAGACACACAGCAACCATTCTCTCTCACACCCACTCCTAAGGACAATTTAGAATGTCCAATCAACCTAACATATATTTTACACTATATTGCCAAAAGTATTTGCTCACCCATCCAAATTATTGGAATCAGGTGTTCCAATCACTTCCATGGCCACAGGTGTATAAATTCAAGCACCTAGGCATGCAGACTGTTTTTACAAACATTTGTGAAAGAATGGGTCGCTCTCAGGAGCTCAGTGAATTCCAGCGTGGAACTGTGATAGGATGCCACCTGTGCAACAAATCCAGTCGTGAAATTTCCTCGCTCCTAAATATTCCACAGTCAACTGTCAGCTGTATTATAAGAAAATGGAAGTGTTTGGGAACGACAGCAACTCAGCCACGAAGTGGTAGGCCACGTAAACTGACGGAGCGGGGTCAGCGGATGCTGACGCGCATAGTGCGAAGAGGTCGCCAACTTTCTGCAGAGTCAATCACTACAGACCTCCAAACTTCATGTGGCCTTCAGATTAGCTCAAGAACAATGCGCAGAGAGCTTCATGGAATGGGTTTCCATGGTCGAGCAGCTGCATCCAAGCCATACATCACCAAGTGCAATGCAAAGCGTCGGATGCGGTGGTGTAAAGCACGCCGCCACTGGACTCTAGAGCAGTGGAGACGCGTTCTCTGGAGTGACGAATCGCGCTTCTCCATCTGGCAATCTGATGGACGGGTCTGGGTTTGGCGGTTGCCAGGAGAACGGTACTTGTCTGACTGCATTGTGCCAAGTGTAAAGTTTGGTGGAGGGGGGATTATGGTGTGGGGTTGTTTTTCAGGAGCTGGGCTTGGCCCCTTAGTTCCAGTGAAAGGAACTCTGAATGCTTCAGCATACCAAGACATTTTGGACAATTCCATGCTCCCAACTTTGTGGGAACAGTTTGGAGCTGGCCCCTTCCTCTTCCAACATGACTGTGCACCAGTGCACAAAGCAAGGTCCATAAAGACATGGATGACAGAGTCTGGTGTGGATGAACTTGACTGGCCTGCACAGAGTCCTGACCTCAACCCGATAGAACACCTTTGGGATGAATTAGAGCGGAGACTGAGAGCCAGGCCTTCTCGTCCAACATCAGTGTGCGACCTCACAAATGCGCTTCTGGAAGAATGGTCAAAAATTCCCATAAACACACTCCTAAACCTTGTGGACAGCCTTCCCAGAAGAGTTGAAGCTGTTCTAGCTGCAAAGGGTGGACCGACGTCATATTGAACCCTATGGATTAGGAACGGGATGTCACTTAAGCTCATATGTGAGTCAAGGCAGGTGAGCAAATACTTTTGGCAATATAGTGTATATACAGTACTGTGGGAGGAAAGCAGAGAACACGGAGAAAACCCAACAAGACGAAGGAAGAACATGCAAATTCCAAACAGAACCCAGAAAAATAAAGTTTTTTAAGGACACATTTCATTAAGTTAAACACATTAAATAGATTACGCACACACAAACTGATGTTTTTAGGCTTTTGTTTTTATTATCTGTAACGATTTTATGCTCAAAGCTAATGAAACACTACATTTAAGATTGAATTCTTTTATCAGACCCCAAAAAACATTCTTAATTTGGTTTAGAAATGCTGTCCTAATGTAAATATGTTTAATTTATTAAAGATGACTGTATATTCTAAGCTGATCATGTTTAATAATTCGCTTTGTTTTTGGGACAAAGGGAGACGGTTGACAAAGCACTAGAGTTGGACAATATCAAAAATTGCATTTGTCTGTTCTGTATTGTGAATAAATGTCTGTTAACTTTGATGAAACTTTTTGGCTGCCACATTCTCAGAGTTTCAAAGCCTAAAATTAATCAAATCTAAATGAAAAACGACAAACAGTTTACATCCACCCTGTGAATGTAAATCGTTTAACTCAATTGTAGGTTTAAACCGCTGAATCTATAAACCTCAGTTCCCAGTGATGCTATAATAAAGAGAAAATAAGGTTTTAGAGACCAGAATTCAGATTTATTTGGTTATTTGTTTAGAAAGTTAACCAATAAAAGGAAGGGTTCACATTTTGCTATTGTTAATTAATTTCTGCAGCTCTCTAAGTAGCGTGAAAATGAATTTAAACCTGAAACTGTGGTTCTGTTGATGTTATATAACCGCCTGCTTGAGGGCATTTCAGCATTAATGAAAAGTTTGCTGAATGTACCTTCGACACAATGAAGTACTGCGCATAACTGTTGAAAAAAAGAGGAGATAATGAGATAAAGGCAGTGGAAAACACAAAGGAAAGGAAGCTGATGAGTGTGTTGATGCGCTCTGCATGTTGTGCTGATTGTGATGAGTTCAGCTGAGCCAAACGGCCTCCGCTCACTGTCAGCTGCTGAAAATAGCAGCCCATTGCAGTCAGATTGCTCCTCAGGCACATTCACAGAAAGTAATTAAGATAACAAGCTCTCAGTGCCGCAGCTTGTGGAAACTTCCAGAAAGTGAAATTTACTACAGATTCTAAACACTGAAGAAAACCCAAACCTATGGTATTTATACCTGCGTGGAGACAGAATATTTTTCCTTTTTGTCGTTATCAGAACGGCAGCCTGTGTGTCGGCTGGGATGAAATGAGCGTTATCTCAGTCTAAGTGAGGATTACGCCTCGCTTTTATGTCACAGAAATGTTTTCCCCGCCAGGTGGTGGAGCAGCTTCACGGCTTCGTTTTATACACAATACATCTCATTCAGTCAACTCTAGGCATAGAAATGTCTAGAATTTGTTTTCCATATATGAATGAAAATGTTTTTATGTCTACGCCGATCATTCTATCCATCCATCCATCCACCGATCATTCTATCCATCCATCCAACTGTAATTCCATCCATCCATCCATCCATCCACCGATCATTCTATCCATCCAACTGTAATTCCATCCATCCATCCATCATCCATCCATCCATCCATCCATCCAACTGTGATTCCATTCATCCATCCAACTGTGATTCCATTCATCCATCCAACTGTGATTCCATCCATCCATCCATCCATCCAACTGTGATTCCATCCATCCAACTGTAATTCCATCCATCCATCCATCCATCATCCATCCATCCATCATCCATCCATCCATCCATCCATCCATCCATCCATCTATCCATCCAATTGTGATTCCATCCATCCATCCATCCATCCATCCACCGATCATTCTATCCATCCATCCATCCATCCATCCATCTATCCATCCACCGATCATTCTATCCATCCATCCAACTGTAATTCCATCCATCCATCCATCCACCAATCATTCTATCCATCCAACTGTGATTCCATCCATCCATCCATCCATCCATCCATCCACCGATCATTCTATCCATCCATCCAACTGTAATTCCATCCATCCATCCATCCATCCATCCATCCATCCACCGATCATTCTATCCATCCAACTGTAATTCCATCCATCCATCCATCATCCATCCATCCATCTATCCATCCAACTGTGATTCCATTCATCCATCCAACTGTGATTCCATCTATCCATCCAATTGTGATTCCATCCATCCATCCATCCATCCATCCAATCATCCAACTGTGATTCCATCCATCCATCCATCCATCCATCCAACTGTGATTCCATCCATCCATCCAATCCATCCAACTGTGATTCCATCCATCCATCCATCCATCCATCCATCCAATCCATCCAACTGTGATTCCATCCATCCATCCATCCATCCATCATCTATCCATCCATCCATCCATCCATCCATCCAACTGTGATTCCATTCATCCATCCAACTGTGATTCCATTCATCCATCCAACTGTGATTCCATCCATCCATCCATCCATCCATCCCATCCATCCATCCATCCATCCAACTGTGATTCCATCCATCCATCCATCCATCCATCCATCCATCCATCCATCCATCCATCCATCCATCCATCCATCCATCCATCCATCCATCCATCCATCCATCCATCCATCCATCCATCCATCCATCCATCCATCCATCCATCCATCCATCCATCCTTCATGTGTTTTCTCTGACCTTGCCCTCCAGGTGGCAGAGCAGCTCTTTGTGAAGGGGGGTCACATTAAAGATGCCATTGACATGTTCACCACAGCAGGACGCTGGGAGGAGGCTCACAAGGTCAGTGAGGAAACACTGATGGAGTAAAGATTTGAAAAATTACCTTGATAACTGATTCGTTATACATTTGATCCAAGATCCCAGTTTTATAAATGTTCCTATTTAACATGTCAGACATAGTTGAGCTGTTGTTGTTCATTCTCCACAGCTGGCGATGGAGTGTATGACAGAGGAGGAGGTCACTGATCTATATGTCAGCAGAGCTAAGGAGCTGGAGAAGGATGGAAAGTTCAAAGAGGCTGAAAAGTAACACTAGCTGTCTTTGTCTTAATTTCACACCTTCCATCTTTATCACAGCTACATCAACATCAGATCTTGGTCTTCATGTTTCAATGCTTCTCTACCCTGCAGGCTGTTTGCCACCGTGAATAAGCCTGATTACGCCATCAACATGTACAAGAAGAACCGGATGTTTGGTGATATTATTCGTTTAGTTGCCAAACATCACCCCAACCTGCTGACGGAGACCCACCTCCTCCTGGCCAAGGTACGAGCAGAGGGAAATGGTAGACTGTGGGACCTGAGAACCAACAGAGATGGGAAAATGAAGGGCTTATAGATGTTAAAGTCAACCTCAAAAGCTTAACTTAAAACTAGTTAATTTGCCAGATTATTTAAACTCACTAAGGAATTAACCTAAAAAATAATTCCTTAACGTGTCTAACCTTCTTCCTGTTTTATACTTTTATATAAAAAGGATTACACGATTTCACTGCACAGAGTTTTATCTGTAGCACAGCTCTCTGAGCTGGACACACAGCAGTCGGCTGACGTTAGTGTTTTTCTCCAAGACTACATTGTCTTGCATGGTGACTGTAGTAGATGGAAAAGGCTTTAGTGAATTTCACAGTAAATGGGCTGTAACCCTGGAATATTCCCACATGAATTATCTGACTCAGACTACTGAACCTTTAAATTAAGATCAGCTCGCAAAGGCCTTAAATCCCAAATCTACAATACATTCTAACACAGGAGGACGTGAAGAAGGAGAACAACTGAAAACTATGTTTCAGTTTAGCGCCACATGGGAGATTTTGTACTGATTTGTACACATAAAACCCAGAATGTTAATATACCCTTATATGTGCGAAACATATAAATTTTCCCAAAGGGTCACAGACATAAAAACCTGTTTGAAAAGTTGATGTTTACTTTTAGGATAATTGTAATTGATGAAGTGTAAGCTGATGTTTTCCCCATCGTTATATCTAATTAGGACAGTTCCTCTGTCCGGATATACACTCATCATCTTTATTCTGTACGTGGCAAAGATTTGGGAATGGAATGAGAGCGGTGTCCTTCATCTAACATTAAAGTGTAATATTTTGATAAGGCTGGAACCATGGAGGTCTCCTCATCTGCAAAAATGTATGATTTAATCATGTGATGATGTGGCAGACTGGATATCTATAAAATGTCTCTATACCTGCAAATCGGGGCCACACTGCGAAAAATGGAAATCTAAATAAGTCATTTTTGCTCAGATTGAGTGCATTTTTTCTTGAATTGAGGAGGTAAGTGAGACACTTTGCCAATGGAACAAGACAATTTCCATTTAAAATAAGAAAAAAAACTATTGCTTTTTCTTATTTCAAGTGTATATTATCCAATTATCTTATTTTAGGAGTAAAAATACTCATTCCATTGGCAGATCATCTTATTCTGCTGCTCAAATTAAGGGTAAATACACTTAATTTAAGACATCTTTTACTTATTTCTAGATGTTTTTTTGCAGTGCACTTCATGAGAAGTGAGCCCTGTTGGTAAGCAGCTGCCTTCTGTAACCCTAAGCAACTTCTCTGATCTGAGTAAGATTATAATTTTTATCAAAATCTGTTGCCATGTCTCACGGTAATTTAATACATATACATTATGAACTGTTATTTAAAAAGTTTTTCCTGGGTGATCTCTTTTCAGGAAAAAGAACCGTAGAAAGAAAGCTTCAAGGTGCAGACACAGAGCTTTCAATTAACATGACAAAAGTATACAATTAAAAAATATATTTTTAGTTTCTGTTGATGAAGAGGTTGCTTCACAGCTAAACAAACCTATATTTGTAATGGAACTTATTTGCATAATAGTATTTTAATGTTTAATCACTTTATTTACAACTAGAATTTGTTGTCCTGCAGCATTACAGAAAACCTCACTTTAAAGCCAACATCTTGTAGCTTTGAATGGAGACAGAAGAGGAAGGTTTCTGCTATACTGATATGTTTCATCTTTGTAGTACTGATGCTTTTTTGTGTGTGCTGGTACATTTGGTGAATATGCCTGCTTTTATGTAGGAACTGGAAGCAGAGTCCAGATTCTCAGAGGCAGAGTACCACTTCATGGAGGCTGAAGAGTTGAAGGCAGCGGTAAACATGTACATAGTCCATAAAATGTGGGAGGACGCATACAGGGTAAAACATCACCTTACTGCTTTTTTATCCTCTTTTTTTGTTATTTTTATGTAATTCCATTTAATTTGTGTTGAATCTCCATGTTTGACCCAAACCATAGAAACTGCTCAGCAGCTGAACTTTGGGACACTTTCCAAAAACTCATAAATGAGTTTGATAAAAACAAAATTAAAGCTCCCCTTTAATGTTTTTGGGGAAAATGAACATTTCAGTTCTTGAAAGTAACCCTGCTGGTCTGAAAAATGCTTTGGAAATGTATCTGTTAATTGTGAACATCACATGTAAGGTTAGCTTTATAGTAAGTTTAAAAAGCAACATTAATGAAGTAAATGTTTTTTCCAGTGATGGTGCCTGTTAGCTTCAAAAGAAGCTTCAGATTCTATGACGGGAAGCTGCAAGTTATCATAAGTGAATTTTAGGTGTTTTCCACAGTTGCCGGCAATATTCCTTCTAAGTTGTGCAATTGCGTACGGCTCGCGCAAAAGAAAATCCATGCAGCACATAGAATAAAATCCAACCTAAACTGTAAATGTTTTTCTGTATCATTTTGAATCCATCGAACATTTGTTTTTTACAACTTAAAACCAGCACTGAAAATACGAGAAACAACTGAGCCTGATCTGTCGTCCCCCTAATTTTGTTATATAATATGGAGAAACGGAGAACAGTTTTTAACTTGCCGTTCCTCATTAAACATAATAATAAAAAAAAACATGAGCAGGGAATACATTCATCTTTATTTCATTTGATTTGGGCTCTTATAGCATCTCAGCCTGCTGGATGCTGCATGTGCAAGCTGGCTTTATTAAAAGAACAAAATTTAGCTCTTCTGGCACATAATCTAGCTACACTTCAATACAGTTACAAATATCAATATCAAGTCAGTTTTATAATAAAAATAATACATGAAAGAGAGTAGGATTTGGATTAATGTATTGAATAAAATCATAAATCAGTGTCCTTTAAAAAAACGTTCAGCAAATGTCTTTAGTCAGCGCATCAAAAACCGCTACAGATGCAAGATAAATAGTCCAGCAGGAAGAAGAATATGTGGCGCCACACATGTAGATAGATATATATATCTATATATTTATCTATATATATATATATATATATATAGACTCACTTGTTGAAGGCACTAAAACTATTTCTAAGAGCATTAAAAAGCATTAAATTAGAGTTACTCATTCCTGTCTAAACCCTGTGTAACATGTGGATGTGCATCAGGTGGCAAAGACCCATGGAGGAGATGGAGCCCAGAAACAGGTGGTCTACTTGTGGGCCAAGAGTCTGGGAGGAGAGGCAGCCGTCAAGCTCCTCAACAAGTTTGGTTTGCTGGACTTCGCCATCGAAACCGCTGCACATAAGCTGTGAGTATCATCCCCAGTTCTGCATCACAAGTTTAAAAGAATACGGCTCAGTCTGGGTCATTGGGTGCAAGTTCTAAAGCAAATGGTTTTCCAAAGGGAAACGATTGTGTGATTTCCTGCTTTCCTTCCTCTTTGTAGCTCATTTGACTTTGCCTTTGACTTGGCTCGCCTGTCATGTAAGGAGAAGATTCCCGAGATCCACCTCAAGTATGCCATGTACCTGGAGGACGAGGTAAATTAGCCACCTGTCTCATTTATCTCAGCTGCCATCACAGAGGGGAGGAATTTGTTTACAAGCTTGATGTGATTATGAAACGATGTTCAACGCTTCGTAACGAGGCCTAGCTCATTAAAACCGGGATTTTTCTTTATTAGGTAAAGGAGAAAGTCGTTTCCCATCAGAATGAAGCTCTGACAGTCTGACAGGCTTCCCTTATTATCATTGTTGTAAATTTGATCAGTCACTAATGCAGCTCGATGACATCATTACCGCAGAGTAGCAGCTCATACTTTCTGCCACTGAGTGCTAATCAGTAGTTCTGACATGTTTCATTCTGCCAGGAGAGGTTTCCTGAGGCTGAAGCTGAGTTCATCAAAGCAGGAAAACCCAAAGAAGCCGTTTCCATGTGAGTCCCGGGGGAAGAGTTTTCTTTTTTTTATTTCTAAAACTAAGTTGAACTTGCAGAAAATGTTCTAAGTACTTAGAAATATATATATATATATATATATATATATATATATATATATATATATATATATATATATATATATATCTACTCATCATCAGCAGGAATGTTTATGTCCATTTCAAGCTTTTAATACGGCATTTAAATTATTATTTCTTCATGGTACTAAAATAAAAACAACAAAAATGAGAGTTTAAAAGTTTTACATCATTGTTGATTTTTTTTTTTTTTCCGATCCACACAGTCTAAAATACTGTTCATGCAAACTTCAATAATATTTCCATACTATAATATCCAGATTTATTCTTGTTATTTTAAACAATCTACCAGCTACTCCCACTTTTTTGTGTCTTTGGGAAAGACACTTCACCTGTATTTCCAACTGATGATGGTCGGAGGGACAGTGTTTGACAGCCTCACTTCTGACTTGAAAAAGCGCTATATATGTACAGGCCATTCGTATAAATTGGTTAGCTTCCTGTCATGGACCATAATTAAACCCAGTCATGATGGTTGAGGTTGGAGCTCTACATTTGCATTACAGCAAACTAAGATTTTTTTGTTTCTGTTCAGGAGCAAGTATTATCAGACATTAGTAGAGCCCAAATAAGTTAGCCTCGTGAGACCATCCTGATCTCGCGAGCTTTCAAGGTTTCACTCGCTAATCAGTCTGGAGACTCCGTAGAAGAAAATTTGGAGCGTTCACCAAACGAACGTCCAATCAGCGTTGGCTTTGAGGCGGGTTGAGGTGTGACGCAACGAGAAGCGCGACAGTTCATTCTAAAGAACATGGCGGCTTCAGCCGATGAAACTAGCGTTAGCGTGGCTATCGTGCAAGTTTTATCGGAATTACAGAGTATTTCTTCATTGAAAGAAGAGCAAAACACTGCTCTGGAGGCTTTTCTCAGAGGAAAAGATGTTTTTGCTCTTCTCCCGACTGGTTTCGTGAAGAGTAGCCTGGCTGTTAGTACGTCATATGCTTCGTTGATCTGATTGGTTTATTTGGCCCGTCTATCACCATCATAGGCCAATCAGCTAACAGTATTTTCGCCCCTTCCCAAAATTACTTCAACCAAAGGTTTCCAGATGGATATGCGGAGCAAATCCATCTGGCGGAGTCAGGTTACAAATAAGTTGGTGCCGGTCAGTAGTCTAGTTGTACAAAAAGAAGGGAGATTGTGATTTTTTTTTTTTTTTGGAAGCATACATAGCCTAATTTATATACAGGGTCATTAAAAATCATTAGAAGTCATTTAATTATAATTTTTTTAAATTAAGGCCTTAATTGGCATTAAAAATCATTATATGTGATTATTGTGGCATTTAAAATGCTTCATTTAGAAGAAAAACATTTTATAAAAACAAATTCATCACATATATTTGATCAAATATAATTTCCGTGTGTTCGGCCAAACTGCTTACAGTTGATCGTAAAGCCGTATGTTCGGAAAACAAGCCCAGGGCAGAGAAAAAAGTAGAGTATGGCAGACATTCCAAGTCTCTCTGAAGTTCCGGGAGTCTCCCTGATATTGATAGTTTTCCATGGATGCCCACGAGTCGGATACATTCCGGATTTTAGACTATGCGAGGTGGTGTTTTTTTAACGCGAGCGTGCAGGTAATACAATAATTCGTGCACCGTGTGCGGATTAGAACTACTTCGATTGCACAGGCTAACCAAGAGAGAGGAGGTTGTGGGGAGGATGTTGCTTGTGAAACCTGTGCGTATCTGTCCAAAGCAGTGCTCTGTTCAACGAGCGTTCCGGGGGACTGGTTGTCACAGAGTAGTAGAAATGTAGGTAAAAATTATATTGGCAGTCCTTCCTTATCATTCAGTGCAGCCCAGAAATCAGCCCCTCAGCATGATACTACCAACACCATGCTTCAGAGTGACAACAAAGTTTGAATGCCTTACCTTGGAACTTCTGGTGATAATTTTTCTCACTGCGCCTCAATCTTTGTCCACTTTTCTATTAAAGGCATTTAGCTTGTCCATCTGAGCTCCTGCTCAGTCCATGTTGACATCAAACAGACCTAATGGTAACCAGTAACACTGCTGTTCAAGCATCTGACAAACTGAGAATTTGAGATGAATTTCAATAGTGGTCCCTGGGTTGTTGCACAGCATCCTGGGAACAGGTAGGGGTGAAAGCTTCAGAATTTGGCCCTGATCTCGACCCCATAGATAATGTATGGAGTATATAAAGGATTAGTCTGTGCAGGAAGCTAAATGATACGAATGTAGGATTTCTAAATTCAAATATCCTGCCAGAAATGTATTTAGGGCTACAGAAATTGTGTGGTCGAAGTGTCAATTACATAGAAAAATTTTATTGAATTACTCCTAGTGTCACATGCTTGTCAGGAGGCCAAGAAGTCTTGGAGGTGGGACCCAAACTGGTTGAAAGAAGAACATGCTTTGTAGAGTTTTCAGCAGACAAAACTTGTATTTCTTCTTGTGCAGGACATCTTAAATAGAGAAGAACCTAAATTGGAAGAAACCATTTTTAAAAGGCTGTTCAGCTTCACAATAAGAAGAAAAGGAACATTTGGTTTTGAAAAACTACTTAAGAAATACTTTTACTAATAAATACAGAAACAACTATTTTAATTCAATCCAAACAAATACTCAAACTCAATAAAGAAAACACCATACATCAGATCAAACTCCCCCCTCTTCAATTATCCAATGGTGCAGTCCTGCACACAACTGCTTGGGAGAGTGAAACAGCAGAGGTGAGTATTTCACTATATTTTAACTCCTTAATCCATGAATTTCCCTTTTATGAATAGTTAAACAAAAAAAAAATATTGCGAAATCAATTTACCTTTTTACAAAAATGAAAACAAGATGTGGCCAACCAAAGAACCACAACCCAAACAAATTCACTTCACCCAAAACAACAAAAGTAAACCAATGTAGAAAACCAGATCCTGTGTTTAGCTGCTACTTTGGCCAATATACAAGTAACAATGGCTCATTGTAACATCTAGGTGTAATTACTAATTCCTCCCGAGGTATTAGTGTTAATTTTTGTGGATTAAAGAAAACTTTAAGAAAAGAAAAGATTTTTGTTTTTCTAGTTGTGTTATATAGAATATTTGAAAAGCATTATAAAAGCTAAAATGTTGCAATGTTGAATGTATGTAAAATTTCTCCTGCACTGAATCCCCTTCCCTAAATTGTCTGAGGACTTAACATTGTGGACGGTTAAATTGGCCTCTTGTTTTATACTTTATGAAAAGTTTGTGTAAAAATCCTCATTGTCCTCATTTTAAAGTTGTGTCCAATGGGAATGTGTGTCCATGCGGTCTGTTCCAGGTATTCCCACAACAAGGACTGGGCCAACGCTCAGCGGGTGGCCGAGAGCCACGATCCAGAAAGCGTTTCCGAGGTTCTGGTGGACCAAGCCAAGTTCTGCTTCGAACAGAAGGATTTCCAGAAAGCAGAAGCGTTCCTGCTTCGAGCGCAGAGGCCTGAACTGGCCGTCAAATTATATAAGGTAACCCCACAAATATGATTTAACCTGCAGTTCTTATGCACTTATTCTTTTATTTAACCTAGTGGATGTTTTTTTACGTTGTATATTTAACAGGATGCAGCCATGTGGAGCGATGCAATGCGGATCTGTAAGGAATATCTCCCCAGCAAGCTCTCTGTGCTGCAGGAGGAGTATGAGAGGGAGAACTCCAAGGAGGGTGGCCGGTAATCTAATCACTACTTCTGCATTCATTTATTCTCGCTCATCCAAAAATAGGCCTCAACTTTACATGGATAGCAGTTTAAACAGCCACAAATTGAAAAGGTTCAGTTCAGGAACAAGCTCTGCATCCTTTTCTCTCCTTCCCACCGCTACATGAACATCCTGCCCTCCTCTGCCCTCGACTCTTCTGTTTTTATGAGTTTTTTCTTAGCCAAATAAGAAGATGGTGCTGCTCCCTCCGCCTTTCACCTGTCTGTCTCTTGAAGTAAAGTAAAGAGGCATCTGGAGAGACTGGGGCTGACACCATCAGGTTAGTTATTATGATACAGAGTCCCGAAGGCCTGTGCAGGATTCTACAGTAGCTCTTCACCCTTAGTCTGACCCAGGAGACGGGTCCAGTGATCTGGAAGACCTCCTGCCTTGTTCGAGTACCAAAGTCTCAGCCAACAGTCCTCAGTGACCATAGACCTGTTGCCCTTACATCCTACATTATGAAGAGACTGCTATTGGTTCACCTCAGCAGGCAACAGTTTGCTTATCGCCGTGGAGTTGGGGTTGATGATCCCATCATACACCTGCTTCAACAAACCCACTGTCATTTAGACAAGGCAAACACCACTTTAAGGATCATGTTCTTTGAATTCTCCAGAACATTTAGCACAATTCAGTCTGATTCAGAAGGAAGCATCAACAATCATCTGGATCAAAGACTATCTGACAACCAGACCACAGTTTGTCAGACTGAAGGGTCAGCTGTGTAATCAAGCAGTCAGCAGCACAGGAGCGCCACAGGGGACTGTACTCTCTCTGTTCCTTTTTACTCTGTATAGCTCTGTAGCAGAGTACCATTACCTTCTGAAATACTCTGCAGTCTCTGGGTGCAACAAAGATGGACAAGAAGCTGAGTACAGAGTGCTGGTGAACCGCTTTGTTAGCCTCATGAGACCATCCTGATCTCGCAAGCTTTCAAGGTTTCACTCGCAGATCAGTCTGGAGACTCTCCGTTAAAGAAAATTTGGAGCTGTTCACCAAATGAACGTCCAATCAGCGTTGGCTTTGAGGCGGGTTGAGGTGTGACGCAACGAGAAGCGCGACAGTTCAGGCCCCGTCCACACGAAGTCAAAACGAACACGAAACGCTAATATTTTCCAGAACGTTTGTCGTAAAGACGGAGACGTAAAATAAATGTGATCGTTCCACACGAATGCATGAAAACGCTGCAAAATGTATGCCAGGCCTGTAAGTGGCGCTGTGGTGCCAAAGCAAAAATAGAGCTAATGACTTAAAAAAGCTAATAAAGAAGTCCAGCTTTGTTCTAGGAACTCCTCTAGAACCTCTGAAGATGATTGCACACAGAACAATGTTTTCTGAAGCGAAGAAAATAATGAACAACAATTGGCCTCCTCTTCAGAAGATTTTTAAACAACGGAGTGTCTTCAGTCAGAGGCTTCGACAGTTGTGGTGCAAGACAGACAGCTATCAACACCTGGATAAAAATAACCTATAAGTTACTAAAACCTTTAATTTCCCTTAGGGCATGGGTCTACAAGGTGTTCCAGGCTAAGGACCCCCAAACTGATGGCGAGATGGAGCAGGGACCCCCTAATTATCTCTATTTTATGAAATTGTGTTATATCAAACTGGTCCAATAGTCACTCTATTACATATGGAGTAATGTAATTAAAGTAATTTCATCCTGGGATTATATAAGTATTTCTGATTCTGATTCCTGGTTGATGGAACAGGTGTTGTGAATGAGGCAAGGTAAGGCAAGGCAAGGCAAGGCACATTTATTTGTATAGCACAATTCAGTACAAAGACAATGCAAAGTGCTTTACATGATTAAAATACAGGAAGATAAAACAGAATCAAAGCAAGTAGGAAAAAATAAAAAAATAAATTAAATTAAATAAAAAAATGCAGAAACAAAAAAGAATATTAAACACAGTTGTACTAAAGAAAATATGTTTTAGTTGAACTGTTTAACTAGAACAGTCCAAGGCAATCCTAAACAAATGTGTTTTTAGTCTTGATTTAAAGGAACTCAGGCTTTCCGCACTTTTACAGTTTTCTGGAAGTTTGTTCCAGATGAGTGGAGCATAGGAACTAAATGCTGCTTCTCCATGTTTAGTTCTGGTTCTAGGTATGCAGAGCAGGCTTGAGCCAGAAGACCTGAGTGGTCTGGAGGGTTGATACACTGATAGCAAGTCTGTGATGTATTTAGGTGCTAAGCCATTCAGAGATTTATAGACTAACAGAAGTATTTTAAAGTCTATTCTCTGAGATACAGGGAGCCAGTGTAAGGACTTTAGAACTGGGGTGATGTGCTCTACTTTCTTAGTCTTAGTGAGGACACGGGCAGCAGCGTTCTGGATCAGCTGCAGCTGTCTGATCCACTTTTTAGGCAGACCTTTGAAAACACTGTTGCAGTAATCAATGAAACGGTGCCCAGCTTGAAAGAGCTCCTGTGTGTCGCTATATGCGTTCAATGATGACTGAATGACATCTTCTGTCTCCATTTATCCATTTACTACAGTGTTTTGAAATTCTGTTAATGTGTATTTAAAGACATTTAAATAACTGGAAAAAATTGCAGGGGGGAGTATAAAAAAAAGTCTAATCAACCAAAATTTTCGCGACCCCCTGTGCAGTACCTTCGTGGACCCACTAGGGGTCGCGGACCCCCTGTTGAAGACCTCCGCCTTAGAGAAAAATAAAGTATTTTAGAATTGATTTTAATTTGAAATCACAGCAAATCCAGTGTCTGAATATTCTACAGCCTCTCCTCCATAACACACTGAATGAAACCTTCAACAAACAGCTAGTTTGATGCTTTATTTAAACATCTTTCATGATCTTTTTTTTCCCTGCAACTAGAACTTCCAACAAGGAACAGCTCGTTAGCAAGCAAACCCGCAGTACACAGCCCTTATACCCCCCTCGCCCCATATCCTTTAATGGCTCGTGAGAGAAAACATCAAAAGTTGCCAGTGGAGACGAATGAAAATTAGATTTAAAGAGGGGGAAAAAACCACTAAATTATTCCTGAAGAGTTTACAGCTGCAAGTCTTGCCTTTATTAGGTGTGGTTTAGTAATCAAGCATACTACTAATTTCAGTTTTGACAGTAAATCAATATTTTCTAAATGTATTTATCTTTTTTTCTTTTTTCAAAAAAAGGAACTGAATTTAGTTTATTTTTGGGAAAAATATATTAAAGATGCAGTTTTTGCATCATTAAAAAAAATTGAATTTTAAAAGCGTCTTCTTCTGATGGTTTGGTTTTAGGGGTGCCGAAGGTTTGCTGGAGCAGGCCAAAGAGTGGGAAAAGATGGGAGAATATTCCCGAGCTGTGGACTGTTACCTGAAGGTGAAGGATGACTCCAATGCCGCCTTGATGGAGAAATCCTGGATGAAGGTAGAGATCGATCGGTTTTGCTGCCTAAACATCCCTGCCTGAAAAAGGCTGAGGTTTCATTCTGTGATGTTAAACTTTCAAAAGCATAAATCTGTAGGGAGATCTGTGTGTTGGTAACTGGGTCCGCTGCAGCTGATGGTTTGTTTTAAAGGAATAGTACACCCAAAACATGACTAGCCTTCATTTTCTACTCACCCCCATGCTGAACAACACTCTGGAGTACTTTTTTATAGGATTTCCTGAAAGCGCGCACCTGCGCGTTCACAACGCTACGGAAGCCGGCAGACCAAACTAGATGAAAGTGCGCATTCAGCGTCTGCTCTGCCAATAATGCAAGCGTAGAAGAAGAAATGTGCTGTTTACCTGTGCAAAGAAAGAAACAACGAAAGAAAAATGTCTGAGGACTTCAGTGTTGAGGAAGAGCATGAGTTCTTTGCCGAGCTGAATGCGCACTTTCATCTGGTTTGGTCTGCCGCGGTTTCCGTAGACTCGTGATCGCGCTTTCAGGAAATCCTATACACTACTGTTTATGCTCTAAAAACATTCTAAATGACTTCGTTTCGAGTGAATTATGGACGCTACCCACTCAGGACACTTGGAATACATTGGACGAGCAGTATGGAGGAATATTGAAACGTTTTTTGTGGACTTTTATGGACCTTTCTGCCTCGGGCACCATAGACCTCCATTATTTGAATGTCGGCAGACAGCAAGAAGCCTCCCAGATCTCCAGATGCATTTGAGATATCAAAAAAGTACTCCAGAGTGTTGTTCAGCATGGGGGTGAGTAGAAAATGAAGGCTAATCATGTTTTGGGTGTACTATTTCTTTAACAATTGGTCTGAAGACCAAAACAATTTAGATTCAACATTTTGATTTAAGCGGCATATGCTTTTAAAACCCTCCTTTTTCTGTTGAAACCATCCAGTTGTGGTCTACATAAAGTGGGAACTGCAAAGCTTTGGTCTTAATTTGTCCTAAAGTTGTTACAATGGGTCAAATTCTGGTGTTTACAGCAGCAAAAAGATTATAGAAAAAAATGGTCACACGTATGTGGAGCTTAGAAAAATGTATAAGAATAAAATAATAGTGAAGAGTTAAAAAATGAAAAGATAAAATACTGTACTGTTAAGTGTTACAATATTAAAACTGTGCACCTGGAGCATAAATAACCAATATACAGCTATGGACAAATAGCAGCAACATCAAATATGTGCAAACTGACAATAGCATGTTATTTAACTATTTATTTAAGTCTTACTGATTAACAGACAGTTTATTAGTGTTTAATTTATTTATGAACGGCATCTAAACCTTTTATAAAAGGTTAATAGATAATATATTAAAGCATTAAGCCATACATCCAACATGACAGGGCAAGTTCAATTTAAAATAAAGGCTAAAGCCAGTAATGTTATGTTTAGGGAGAAATTAACATCTATTTACCTTTTGTAAATGGTTTAGATGCAGTCTATAAATTATTATCAAACAGTAATAAAGGCCTGATTTCACTGAATTTCTTTTAACTTCAAGTTTGAAGTAGATGAAGGTGTTGGTTGCTGGGATTATCTTGGAGGAATGGGAAAGGTCAAGGTGTCTCTAACGTCGGTGGATCTCTCTCTCTCTGTGGAGAGTGAAGACACACATCGGGCTCTGTGCGCTATTGACTTCAGGGCTGCAGAGAGATCATTGGAAATGTGAATGCTTGCTCTGGCTGCGCTGCTGAAGGGAAAAGGTCGTGGAGTGTCAAGAATCAATAGGTTTGTATCCGCAGGGATTTTTATTAACCCAGAAACTGTAGCGTCAGCCCGACGGACGGGTCGGGAGTTACAACCGTTTGTTTATTGAACTTTGGGTCTCCTGGTGGTGTTTTAGCAAAGATCACAGGGTCACTGAAATCAATGTGTTTCCTTCCTGTGGTGAGCTTAAAGATGGAAATCAACCTTTATTCTATTTATCTTTTAAAGCTTTTTTATCTGTTTCAACGTGTTTTAAGGGTAAACTAAAGAGCAATGATAGAAATGTATTTGTTTCTAAGGCAAATAAGGCTAAGGCTAAAATCAGTTTTTATACGTTTGGCTCTTTGTCTTTTTTGTCTCATGTAATTCTCCCTGATGTGCTGAAATAAATGATGGAGCAAACGCTGACTGAGGCTGACCCATCTCTGTCTGCTTCTGTTTCCCCTTCTGCTTTTTCAGAACTGACCACTGGTTCTCACTTCAGGTTAAAATCTGTGGCGTTTCCTGACCACAACCCAAAATTTCTACGTTCTGATCTTTAGGAAATACACACATCAGCAGCCATATTTGTTTGCATATCTTAAGAGGAAGCTGCCTCTGGTGGATATGTTGATCCCGCTGTTTATGCATGCTGGTTTTCCTGGGAGAAAATACGGAAGAGGATTAGGGCCACTGAAAAAAAAAAAAAAGTTAACTGATTTTTTTTTTTTTTTTTTCAGCATAGTATGGGAAAAAAGTCAGAATTCTGACTTTAATCGCAGAATTCTGACTTTTATCTCTGAATTCAGTCGGAACTCTGAGATTCAAGTCAGAACTCTGAGAAAAAAGTCAGAATTCTGACTTTGATCACAGAATTCTGAAATTTTTCTCAGAATTCAGTCAGAACTCTGAGATTAAAGTCAGAATTCTGAGAAAAAAGTCAGAATTCTGAGATTAAAGTCAGAACTCTGAGATTCAAGTCAGAATGCTGCGATTAAAGTCAAAATGCTGCGATTAAAGTCAGAATTCTGAGATTAAAGTCAGAACTCTGAGATTCAAGTCAGAATGCTGCGATTAAAGTCAGAATGCTGCGATTAAAGTCAAAATGCTGCGATTAAAGTCAGAATTCTGACTTTTTTCTCAGAATTCAGTCAGAACTCTGAGATTAAAGTCAGAATTCTGAGATTAAAGTCAGAATTCTGACTTTTTTCTCAGAATTCAGTCAGAACTCTGAGATTAAAGTCAGAATTCTGAGATTAAAGTCAGAATTCTGAGATTAAAGTCAGAATGCTGAGATTAAAGTCAGAATTCTGAGATTAAAGTCAGAACTCTGAGATTAAAGTCAGAACTCTAAGATTAAAGTCAGAATTCTGAGAAAAAAGTCATCATCTAAATATTAATGATCATACCATAAAAGGAAGAAAACCTGTCGTTTCATTCAAGGGCTTTTAACCAGGCTTTCATTAGAGCTCATAGAACAGCAAATATGCCATTTTCAATGATGGCTTCCTTTTATTTATTTATTTATTTATTTATTTTTTATTTTTTTCTTCCCGCACTGAGTCCCATACTCACGAAAGATGATAAGCAACAAAATTTTCTATTTTTTTCTGTTTGTAAAAACAGAAAACTAATAAAAACAGAGTCTCAATCAACATTTGCATGAAAGACTAGAGCAGGTATCCATGCTGTGCTCCTGCACCACTTCTCTACCAGTGAGAGCGGGAAGACAGGGCCAAAGATAAAGGTCACAATAGAAGAACGTACCAAAGCAGCTGCAGTCAAGGATAAATGGTTAAAACATCCCATTGCTGGGGAATCAGAAGGGTTTCATAAACGCAGTGAAAGACGAAAACAAACTAAAAATAACAGTGAATCTGAATAATAATTTGTGTTTGTTTGTTTTTCCTGATTTGTCAAGTTTAGATGTACACTATATTGCCAAAAGTATTTGCTCACCTGCCTTGACTCACATATGAGCTTAAGTGACATCCCGTTCCTAATCCATAGGGTTCAATATGACGTCGGTCCACCCTTTGCAGCTAGAACAGCTTCAACTCTTCTGGGAAGGCTGTCCACAAGGTTTAGGAGTGTGTTTATGGGAATTTTTGACCATTCTTCCAGAAGCGCATTTGTGAGGTCGCACACTGATGTTGGACGAGAAGGCCTGGCTCTCAGTCTCCGCTCTAATTCATCCCAAAGGTGTTCTATCGGGTTGAGGTCAGGACTCTGTGCAGGCCAGTCAAGTTCATCCACACCAGACTCTGTCATCCATGTCTTTATGGACCTTGCTTTGTGCACTGGTGCACAGTCATGTTGGAAGAGGAAGGGGCCAGCTCCAAACTGTTCCCACAAAGTTGGGAGCATGGAATTGTCCAAAATGTCTTGGTATGCTGAAGCATTCAGAGTTCCTTTCACTGGAACTAAGGGGCCAAGCCCAGCTCCTGAAAAACAACCCCACACCATAATCCCCCCTCCACCAAACTTTACACTTGGCACAATGCAGTCAGACAAGTACCGTTCTCCTGGCAACCGCCAAACCCAGACCCGTCCATCAGATTGCCAGATGGAGAAGCGCGATTCGTCACTCCAGAGAACGCGTCTCCACTGCTCTAGAGTCCAGTGGCGGCGTGCTTTACACCACCGCATCCGACGCTTTGCATTGCACTTGGTGATGTATGGCTTGGATGCAGCTGCTCGACCATGGAAACCCATTCCATGAAGCTCTCTGCGCACTGTTCTTGAGCTAATCTGAAGGCCACATGAAGTTTGGAGGTCTGTAGTGATTGACTCTGCAGAAAGTTGGCGACCTCTTCGCACTATGCGCGTCAGCATCCGCTGACCCCGCTCCGTCAGTTTACGTGGCCTACCACTTCGTGGCTGAGTTGCTGTCGTTCCCAAACACTTCCATTTTCTTATAATACAGCTGACAGTTGACTGTGGAATATTTAGGAGCGAGGAAATTTCACGACTGGATTTGTTGCACAGGTGGCATCCTATCACAGTTCCACGCTGGAATTCACTGAGCTCCTGAGAGCGACCCATTCTTTCACAAATGTTTGTAAAAACAGTCTGCATGCCTAGGTGCTTGAATTTATACACCTGTGGCCATGGAAGTGATTGGAACACCTGATTCCAATAATTTGGATGGGTGAGCAAATACTTTTGGCAATATAGTGTATGTATTAGGGGACTTATTGAGAAGAACTCAATTTTTTGTAAAAAAAAAAAAACAATCATAGATTTGCAACTTAATTTGATTTTGTATTTACTTAAATACTTATTTACTTTCCTGGCAGCATATTTGTAATTTTTTATTATAATTGAAAAGAATGAAATATCTGAGCATTAAATGTTCAAGTTAAATAAATCGAATAAGTATTTTTTTTTTTTTATTTCATCAGTTTTACACTTATTTTTGAAAAATAATCAACACATTTGACCATGGGGGTACTTATGGTATGATACAATGGCAGAGGGGGTACACACGTCAAAAAAGGTCGGGAAACATTGTTCTACACAATAGTTAGAAGCCAGACTTACCTCTATGGTGAAATAGAGGAGGTTGTGATGATATAAAAGTCAGGCTATCTCTCCCTTTTTGACTTTTCTGGTTTAAATCTGATTTAAAAAGCTCGTACATACAAAAAAAACAACCTATGCCATCTCTACACTTCATTTTCCAACAGGTTTTGATTGAAACCCAACAGTTACAAACACCTTTTAGCATGAAAAAGTCAGACAAGTAGGTGAGGACGCCTGTAATTAAACACCTTGTGGTCACTGGATGCTTTCGGCAAAAGTTTTTTGTTACCAACACTGTTTCTTCATCATCTGTGGATCATATTATACAAAGTTTAAGATGTTTAAGATTTAGTTCATTTTTTGGGTATTTTTCTCCAGGCAGCAGAACTTTCCATCAAGTTCCTGAGTGCAGACCGAGCCGCAGAGGTGGTTCATATCATCGGGCCCCGACTTACACAGCTGAGGAAGTTTAATGCTGTGGGTGAAAAAAACTATTCAAAAATATTAAGGATCTAATATGTTAAGACTTGACGTCAATCTCATTTATCTGTGCTTTGAAGACTAATCTCACCAAAATATTATTTTGTTCACCCAAGGCTGCCGAGCTGTACCTCAACATGGACCTCATCAAAGAGGCGATCGATGCCTTCATCCAAGGCGAGGAGTGGAATAAAGCCAAGCGAGTGGCCAAAGAGCTGTTACCAAGGTTAGCGAATCTCCTCTGCCCTGTTACCACAGAGCTGCATCTCTTCTGGAGGTTAACAACAGAAACGGTTTCATAGTTCTAATCTGTTAATGGATTATGCTCTTTCTGCAGATATGAAGACTACGTGGATCAGAAGTACAAGGAGCACCTTAAAAACCAAGGCAGAGTGGAGTCGGTAAGCACATTCCTGCTAAATTACCAATCCAGTGATGAACCTGTGGTCTAATTATAATAAATCAACCCTAAACATTAATGCCAACCACTAATTTGTTCCTTTACGGTAGTTTTTTTTTTTACTCTTCAGTTTAAACATCCCATCCAAAGACGTTTTTTTTTACCAATAGAGATTCTAAGGTTCAGTTTGAAGTGTTTTGACAAAATGTTTTTGTGACTTTGTGCCCAGCTGGTGGGTGTGGACGTCATGGCGGCTCTGGACCTGTACGCAGAGAAGGGCCAGTGGGACAAATGTCTGGAGACGGCATCCAAACAGGTACAACAGCAGGCTTTCTAGAGCCACCTCTGTATAATCTGTCATGTCCGTGTTCATCTATGATAGCAACCAACATGGACGCTACCTCATCAGATCAAACCAGCTTCAAGGTTTATTTTTGTTGATAAAATGTCCATTTAAATTAATGTTGTATTTTTTTGTTGTGAGGCAGCATAAAGGTTCAGATTCATGTGTTAAAAGTGGCCTAGTCAAAGGTTTAAAGAAATCTTTAAATGTTACCAATCTGTTTCCTCTGACTGGATAATGTTCTGGAAAGGTCTGACCAGAGGCCAGATATGAATCTGATAGAGCATTTGTGGTGAAAGCTAAAGATTAGGGTGATGGCATGGAGAGCTTCTACACTCAAACACATGTATTGACAAAATATGTCTGAAAGAATGGGGGGAAAAATCAAATCCTTATACATGATCTGCATATATAATGATTTAATTACTGTAAAGCAACAGCTTCTACTCTACTCTAAATCAGCTTCTACTGCTTCTACGCTAAATAGTTCCTGCACAATTTGGAGGTGTGTTTAGGGTCATTCTCCTTTTGTAGGATGAAATTGGTTCCAATCAAGCACTGTCCACTGGGTATGGCATGGTGTTGCAAAATGGAGTGATATCTCCCACCTTACCAGCACCAAAGCAACCCCAGACCATCGCATTACCTCCACCATGCTTAACAGATGGCGTCAGGCATTCTTCCAGCAAAGTTTCATTTGTTCTGCGTCTCACAAACGTTCTTCTTTGTGATTCAAACACCTCAAACTTGGATTCATCCGTCCACAACACCTTTTCCAGTCTTCCTCTGTCCAATGTCTGTGTTCTTTTGACCATCTTAATCTTTTTCTTTTATTGGCCAGTCTCAGATATGGCTTTTTCTTTGCCACTCTGCCCTGAAGCCCACAATCCTGCAGCCGCCTCTTTACTGTAGATGTTGACACAGGTGTTTTGTGGGTTCTATTTAATGAAGATGCCAGTTGGGGATCTGTGAGGCGTCTGTTTCTCAAACTAGAGACCCTAATGTACTTATCTTCTTGCTCAGTTGTGCAACGCGGCCTCCCACTTCTCTTCCTACTCTGGTTAGAGCCTGTTTTTGCTGTCCTCTGAAGGGAGTAGTACACACCGTTGTAGGAAATCTTCAGTTTCTTAGCAATTTCTCGCATGGAATAGCCTTCGTTTCTAAGAACATGAATAGACTGTTGAGTTTCAGATGAAAGTTCTCTTTTTCTGCCATTTTGAGCATTTAATTGACCCCAAAAATGTGATGCTCCAGAAACTCAATCTGCTCAAAGGAAGGTCAGTTTTGTCGCTTCTGTAACGAGCTAAACTGTTTTCAGATGTGTGAACATGATTGCACAAGGGTTTTCTAATCATCAATTAGCCTTTTGAGCCAATGAGCAAACACATTGTACCATTAGAACACTGGAGTGATAGTTGCTGGATATGGGCCTCTATACACCTACAGTATGTAGATATTGCACCTAAAACCAGACATTTGCAGCTAGAATATACATTAGCAATGTATAGAGTGTATTTCTTTAAAGTTAAGACTAGTTTAAAGTTATCTTCATTGAAAAGTAAAGTGCTTTTCCTTCAAAAATAAGGACATTTCAATGTGACCCCAAACTTTTGAATGGTAGTGTATATAGAGATTTTTTTTACACTTGTGTAAAACTTATTTTCTGTCATTTTAAAATGTATATCGAAGAAAATAAACCAATATCGACTTACAGGTCATATATAAGATCAGTTAGACTGCTGTCAGAATAATCTGTATACGGGGCTTTAAAAGGAAAGCTGTCAGTCGATTTCTGCTTTTTATTACTCTGTGACATAAAATCTGTATTGAGATATTGAGATTTATGGTTATTTGAAAAAGTTTAAAAAGAAAAAATAATATTTCTAATCCACTTTCAATATCCAGAGTGCTATTTCCAATGTTATAACCTCATCATTAAAGCCATGGGTGGTTCTAGATGGGGGCCAACGCGGGCCAGTTCCCCTGTAGATCATGCCTTGGCCCCTATTATGGCCCCTGTTCCAAAGGCATAATACAAAAAAAAGTGCTACTAGTAGTAGCAAAGTAACACTTTGAGAGTACATTTGGTTCCACACTATTTCAGAGTGGGACCAAATGTACTCATGAGTGTAACTTTAACTTTGCAACATTTACTGTGTAGGTCATTTGGATCTATTTTTTTTTCTTTACGAATTGTGTTTTACTAATTATTTAAAAATAATAAGGTGATTCTGGCCCTGTCCACACGAAGTCAAAACGAACACGAAACGCTAATATTTTCCAAAACGTTTGTCGTAAAGACGGAGACGTAAAATAAATGTGATCGACCACACGAATGCATGAAAACGCTGCTAAATGTATGCCAGGCCTGTAAGTGGCGCTGTGGTGTCAAAGCAAAAATAGGCAAAAACAGGCAACGAAATGTTGGGCGTGCGCACTAATATTTATACATGGTTGCCCTGCGGGTCCATTTTTGTGGTTCAGTCAAATTGAGGTGATGAACTCTGTCGTCTGTATTGCTCTGTTCTTCCTGGAGATATTCCAGAAGAAGAAGATTCTGTTGTAAGCCCGACAGCAGGATGAGTAGCATGTTGTTGTGATACTGTGTCGCGCATGCGTGTTTAGAGGCGACGCTATGACGCATGCGTGTAAAAAAAAAAATGCGGTCAGACCTTAAAGATGGAAACGCGAAAACGGCGTTTCAAAATCTTCCCACTCTGAAAGGTTTAATAAAAAAAAAGATCGTTTTCAGACCCCGAAATGCCGGCTTCGTATGGATGAGAGGCTGGTTTGGTGAAACATTTGTGCGTTTAGGCCAGGGTTTGACTTTGTGTGGACGGGGCCTCAGCTTCAGTGAGATAGGATCCCAGTTTTCATCTGCTATTTTTTTCCCCAAACAAATTAAGAAAAATACTTAAAAATAATTTTTACAGCTGAATTTATCAGTTTTTTGAGTTATAATTCTTATTTTATAGAAAAATCTTTTTTTTTTTACTTAAATTAAGTCAATACTATGTAACATTCCTAAATTCTGATTGTATACTGACCTAAAAAGACATAGAATTTGATTTAAACCTAATTGAATAGAAATTTCACTTCATGCAGCTATCTTAATGTTTTTGAATCCCTTGCCCTATTTTTTATTTCATGTTTTTCTGTTCCAAAACACACTGGCCCCCTTCTGGCCCCCTCCTGGCCCCATGGTACATTTTGGTCTAGAACCACCACTGATTAAAGAACTGTTTGGTTTTATGTTGTTTTTAGGATGCAGGACCTTAAAGCTTGTTGAAGTATTTATTTTTTTCGTCTTTTCTCCTCATCACTGATGTTTCTTTTGACAGAACTATAAGATCCTCCATAAATATGTTGCTCTTTACGCAACTCATCTCATCAAGGAGGAAAATGCACTGAAAGCTCTGCAGCTCTACACGCAACATGGAGCTCCACCAAACCCACAAGTAAAAACAAACAATATCTAAGAAGTCCGGATGCTACAGAGCAGAGAGAAATTAGATAAATAATCCCACTAATAAATTGATTTAGAATACTTAGCTTGTTATATTTTAAAGAATACTTGTTTTTTTCCCTTATTTTTAACATTGAATCATTGATATTAATTTTTTTTGTAACCAGAATTTCAACATCTACAAGCGTTTGTTTCTGGAACTGATCAGCAGCCCCAGCCTCGATGGACCAGAATCGTACCGTATGTGGGCCGACCTGCGAAATTTCCTACAGCAGCTGGTGAATCACAACACCAGAAAGAACCTGCATTTCTAAAACGATGCCGGGGATTTATGTGCTGTTTTTGTGGCGTCGCTTTCAGTGCGAGAACATATCCAAGTCAGCGGAGGCCAATTCTCCGGCTCACCAAGACTTTGAGCAAATGCTGCTGATCGCTCACTACTTGGCCACTCGCTCTGCAGCCAAGGGAGTCGAGCAGCTGGTAAACTGCAGCTTGACCTCAACTATGAATAAATAAAAAATGTGGCTGCGGTTCAAACCTTTTTATTTTTTATTTTTTTGCATTTTCAGATGAGCATAGCAGCCAAGGTGTCTGTGTCTCTGCTGCGCTACACTGAGTACATCCGTGCAGACAAAGCTTTCTACGAAGCTGGCCTAGACTGCAAGGTCGGTCCCCTAGGAAATCTAAAGTTTATGATTTATTCAATACATTTTTTTTCTACAAAAAATACCAATGTTGTAAAAGATATACAAACGGTTTGAGGTTGTCTGAATTAATCAGAAAGCTCAGTTTTATTGTAACTTCCAGACATTCCTCAAGCATTTTCCGATTCCATGATTTAAACTTTTGAGTCGTAGGGAAGTCATATTGAAATGTCAAATCATTCTGGTTTAAACGTGTATATAAATGTACTCTTTATCAGACCATGTTGTCCCAAAAGTTAGAAAATCTGTGTTGTTTTTTTATACGTCAGCTTGTACACCTAAATTCGGTCAATCATATATCAAAGGTCATCTGTCAATCAAATTTTTTCGGTCAGAGCATCTTGATTCATATGTCGCAGCTAATATACACAACGATTGAAATAAGAAATCGGAATCCTTTCCTTTCCCATTGAGTTCCGTCCCAGTGTTCACGGGGATGGACGTCTGTGTCTTCAGCAGGCGTAGAGCTAACAGAACTGGCAGCGTTGCGAGGCAAGGGCTCAAACATGTACGGCTGGAAGCCTTCTACACCAAATCAAGCTTCTGCCGCCCTGGCGTCCTCTTCCACAACATCTTCGTCCCCGCTTTCCTCCTCTAGATAAAAAATGGATGACGGAGGAGACTCATCCACGACCTCCGACAAAAAAACCCTCCTCCTCTTACATGTTTCCGCTGTCCATAGCGTCCTTGATAGTGTCCCTTCTAAGTGCTACTTGGTCCCAATGGAATTTCCCATTGGGAACCTACTAGCACTAAGTTGCTAACTGGTTAGCAAGATGCTTCCGAGACCAGTGATGGGAGTAACGACGTTGAAAGTAATGCCGCTACCTTTTTTTTGTAACGAGTAATCAAAATGATTACTCTTACTGTAACTATAACGCAGTTACAATTGCCGACACCCCGTTACTGCCCGTTACTCAGGTCGCACAATTAACCTTTTTTCATGATAAGACACGTGCGCGCGTCATGAGAGAGGGGAGGATGGAGAGTGAGGAGGACTCCAGCGGCAAAACAGTGGTTTCCAGATGGAAATACAGGTGTTACGTCGAGCTGCGTTTCCCCATCAGATATGGTTTCCCCTGCATCTCCGCACAGCACGGCGGCACGATTCACTGCGCAAGCGACTGGAAACGCGCATACTCGCTAAAGGCGCGTAACAGCCGCCCTGTGCTTGCGCCACAGGGGAACTACGGAGAACGTGAACGACCTATATGGAGAAAGTGAGAAATATGGATGGATGGATGGATGGATGGATGGATGATGGATGGATTGATTGAATAGATATAGATATAGCTACATGTTGCAGTATCTATAACAACCCAAACACAGGATTTCAGAATTAGACATCCCCAGTTATTCATTTCATACACTCGCAAAAGTAACGCAATAGTTACTTTTACTAGTAAGTAGTTACTTTTATTGTGGAGTAACTCAGTTACTAACTCAGTTACTTTTTGGGAGAAGTAACTAGTAACTATAACTAATTACTTTTTCAAAGTAACGTGTCCGAGACACCGTCCACAATCAAACTTGCTTGTGAACCTTTCACCACAACAACCCCGCCCCCCTTGATAAATGATCACATTCACACATCATATTCACTCGTGTAAAGTCGTGCACCACTCGGGAGAATTCGGAAATGCAACGGTTGGAACGGCTGCTTCCCTACGACTTTAAATCTATTACGCTGTCTCCTTTTGTTGAATTACTGCTGTAGAAGAAGGATCAGTTCTGTCTAATGACTGGTGATTTTAATTATCAAATGTTTTTACAGTTACGCTGTTGTAGCTGGATCATTAGTACCTTTTTCTCTTTTTTTTTTCTTTCAGGCTGTTGGTTGGGAGAACATGGCCTTTATCTTTTTTAACCACTTTGTGGACCTGTCCGATGTAGGTATCTGCTGAGAAGTCTTCCTACTGACTCTCTCTGAGAGCGTACTTGAATGTTGTAGATTTAAAGATCACAAAAAAGTTTCCATTTTTAAAATCTATGTCAAATGTTTGTGTTAAAAAGTTGGTTATTCTCTGATGCTTAAAAATAAGTTTTGTAAAGGTACAACTTTGCAAGAATAAAGTGATATTCTGCAACATAATTGTTATGCAATTAAGAGTTTTAAAAGTTAGTAATATAGTTTCAATTTGACCAGTAAATACTGAGATGTTTACAAAGATTGTAAATACATATATTTGCAAGAGGAAAATGTCAATAATTTGCTCCAGTGCTTACACGAAATAAATCTGGGTGTTTGTTAAGCATTATGTTATAACTTAATGAGGTGAATGAGTCACAAATTAATCAAAAACAAGCCCTAATAATAAATAGAAAAAAGACCCGTATTCTGTATCCTTACTAGTTTAAAATTACGAAAAAGAAAATAAAAACAATCCACTGGACTTTGTTTCCAAGTTTGAAGACGTTTCACTTCCCATCCAGGAAGCTTTTTTTAATTCAAAATGTCAGAATTAGCGTTGAGTTTGAAGCTTTATAGAGTGGACCAAAAACAAAGCTTTGTTTTGGCGTCAAATGGATTATTATTATTTTCTTTTATTAGAATGTCTATGACCTGGATGATTGAGAAACTTCACCAGCTGATTCTGTTTATTATTTTAAGAAACAGCTGAGAACTCCTTTATTCAGAATGGCTGAAGTGTAATGTTACTGCATGCTATTTTATCCTTTCATCCTTTTGGGGTGTTTTTAATGCTTGTTTATATCTTTAAGAGCTTTGTGGTTCTTGACCTGTCAAAGGTACAGCTTCCTGGATGGGAAACGAAACTAGCCTCGTGAGACCATCCTGATCTCGCGAGCTTTCAAGGTTTCACTCGCAGATCAGTCTGGCTACTTTCCGTTAAAGAAAATTTGGAGCCGTTCACCAAACGAACGTCCAATCATCGTTGGCTTTGAGGCGGGTTTTGGTGTGGCGCAACAAGAAGCGCGACAGTACAGTCTAAAGAACATGGCGACTTTAGCCGATTAAACTAGCATTAGCATGGCTATCGAGCAAGTTTTATCGGAATTACAGAGTATTTCTTCACTGAAAGAAGAGCAAAACACTGCTCTGGAGGCTTTTCTCTGAGGAAAAGATGTTTTTGCTCTTCTCCCGACTGGTTTCGGCAAGAGTTTGATCAATCAATTGGCTCCTCTTCGTCGTCGCTCTGTTAGTACGTCATATGCTTCGTTGATCTGATTGGTTTATTTGGCCCGTCTATCACCAACATAGGCCAATCAAGTAACCAGTATTTTCGCCCCTTCCCAAAATTACTTCAACGGAAGGTTCCAGCAAATCCATCTGGCGGAGTCAGGTTAAAACGAAACGTCCTCAAACTTGGAAACAAAGTCCAGTGGATTGTTTTTAATTTTCTGTTTTTGAAATGACAATGAGACTGAGAACCTGAACCAGCCCTACTAGTTTCCTTTGCTTTCTCTTAATTTTCTTACCCATACATTTGAATAATTAGAGAAAGCCTTTTCAAAGAAAGGATTACCTTGTGGTTAAGAGCAGAAAAAATTTCTAGAATTTTCTATACATTTTAACATAAAGAAAACGTATCCATTTTGATGGAGCTGAAGTCTTGCTCTCTCTCAATTTTCTGCAGCCTAAATGAGTCATAACCTCCTATACAAACCTACATATACAAACCTTCCAAGAGGAAAATATTAATAATATGCTCCAGTGCATACAAGAAGGACATCCGGGTGTTTTTTAACGCATCAAGCGTTAAATTTATGGGGTGAAATTTATCCATGTGAAGTTGTAGGTTCTATTCAGTTGCCCCTGGGCAAGGCACTTCCCCTTCTTGTTTACCAGTCTGTGTTACTGTATAAAAGTGGTTCTATAGTGTCAATTTTTTCTTGCAGTTTTTATTTTACATGCAAATTAGCATTTTGACAACATAGTTCATAATTTTTTTTTTCACATAAACATATGATATACATTTGTTTTATCTATTTAAACCCATTATTTGTCTTTATGTTCTAAAACCAGTCATTTATAAATAACTTCTTTTGTGGATTTATTCTGTTTATTCTGTTTTGCCTCCTGGTTGCAGGCCTTGGACGACGGCCACGCTCCCGATCACTCCGACTTCCTGGACACGGACATTCCCTTCGAGGTTCATCTTCCCACCCAACTCTGTGTGACCGTAAGAAAATCACCTCCACCCACTCACCTCAGATCGACGCAGAAATTACAGCCTGATAGATGGAGACAATATCGATGTCGTGCTGCAAATCAGATCCCAGGGAGTTAGTGTCACATTCCTCTGTGGTCTTGTTAATAAATGAGATTGTGTGGATTTATGAAATCATTAGCGTCACTGTCAGCTGAACATTAACTGTTGGATTGATCCGTTTCATCATCTTCGGTCCTTTTAACACAGACTCATGAGGCACAAAAGATGAATAACCTACAGATTTTAGCCAAATCGGAATCAATGAAGGCAGAATTGTTCAGATGTTTACATGTTTTTCCACTCTTGCCATTCCTTATCTGTGAGTTTTAAAGATGGGAATATATTCAATTTATTTTAAACGTATTTATTTTGATTCTAAAATTATGTTTTTTTTTTTTAAGGATTGGTTTTTGCTCACAGATTTTTTTTAAGCAGCCATTTTTAATTCATGTTTTATGGATGACAGGAAGCCCAGCTGGAGCAGATCCGTGATTGGGTGCTGATGGTGTCCGTGCAAAACCGGCTGGAGCAGGTTCTCCCTCGGGACGAAAGGGACACGTACGAAGCCTCGCTGGTGGCCTCCAAAACAGGCCTCCGCTCGCTGCCTTGTGTTCTCACTGGTAAGAAACCATATCTAACATGGAAAAATCTCTCTTTTATTGTCTGATAAAATCTCTGACAACCTTGAAGGAGATAAAACCTTAAGAGAAAAACATCAAGGAAATAATATCTGATATTTTCAAAACATTTATCTTGCATATAAACTGTCTATTTTATTCAGTAAAGTTTATCCTTCAAGTCCATTTTATATGACATCCATAGACTCAATAGGCTTGAAGAACAGAAAAATAAAAAGCAAAGCAAGTTTATTTCTAAAGCACATTTCCCTGGCAAGAACATTCAAAGTTATGAACATGAAAAAAGACAAGTAGACCGCAGTGGGAGAGAAACATTATGTGTTATTAAGGAGACTAAAACTAAGTAATTAAATAGAATACAAATAATTAGTTAAAATAAGATCATTATATAAAAAACAATAAAAATTAAAGGAAATTTGGACTGAAAACGTTACTGTTAATGTTTAGATGGTACAGTCAATAGCCACTCTAAACAAATATGTTTAAATCTTGATATAAAGCGGCTTAGATTATAGCCAGGAGACCTGAGAGGTCTCATTGGTTGATCTACTGACAACAAGTCTGTTCCTTTAAACCATCAATCTGTAAAACTCCTCACCTGGGGGAAGAAAGTGGTGTTAGGAAGAGGGACAAGGGTCAGCACCCTACGGAAGAGGATTAGGGCCACTGGAAAAAAAAAAAATTTATTTCAGTTTATTATGGGAAAAAAGTCAGAATTCTTACTTTAATCTCAGAATTCTGACTTTAATCTGACTTTAAAAGTCAGAAATCTCAGAATTCTTACTTTTTTCTCAGAATTCTGACTTTAATCTCAGAATTTTGGATCTTAATGTAGATGGGCACCATGAAGGAAGAGATGTGGGAGCATTCAGCTTCACTGAAAAGGTGTGAGTTGTTGCGAGGGCCAGTGACACATTGGTGGAAAATGATGGAATTGGGCAACTTTTTACGTGTCCGAGGGGTCCCCTCATTGATAGAGGAGCAGAAGGTCATTAAAAACAAGAGAGCTAGTCTCTAAAACAGACATGGCTATGGCTTGATGCTAACATGTTTGTTATCTGTCCGAATTCTGAAATAAAAGTCAGAATTCTGAGAAAAAAGTAAGAATTCTGAGAAAAAAGTCAGAATTCTGAGAAAAAAGGAAACATTTTGAGAATAAAGTCAGAATTCTGACTTTTTTCCCCCATGTTAAACTGAAATAAAATTTAAAAATCAGTTAACTTTTTTTTTTTTTTTTTTTGTGGCCCTAATCCTCTTCCGTAGCACCCCCCTCCTTGGACATCTTATGTAAAACATTACCTTTTGTCAATGATGTGCAATATTCTTCTCTCTCACTGGGCAATAATATATGCCAACTACTGTGGAGCCTGTGTAATTTTTTACTTATTTATAAGGTCATTTTTTACTATTATATACACTCTTTTTATATTGTCTGTTGTATTTTTTTTTTATCATTAGTGACATCTTGTTTTAACTTTTGGAATTCTATATAAGCTACTGGAACCATAATTTCCCTAAAGGAGTAATCCCAAGGGATAAATAAAGTTGAGTCCAAGTCTAATGTATTTTAGTGCTAAGCCAGTCAGTGATTCATAGAATAACAGAAGTTTATTAAAATGTATTCTATAGATACAGGGAGCCAGTATAATGGCTTTAGAAATGGGCTGATGTTCTCCACTTTTGTAGTTTTAGTGCAGCTGTCTGCGCCACTTTTTATACCGACATGTGAAGACACCAGTGCAGTAATGAGTTTTTAAAGATCCTGCTGAGGCATCAGTCCTTTAATCCTTGAGATGTACGTGATAGAAGGCCATCTTTGTTCCTGTCTTTATGAGCCTCTAAAGGTTCAGGTTTGGGTTCATCACTAGATTCAGATTTAGAGCCTGATTGATGGTTTCTGGCTGGATTAACTGAAGCCGAATGCTAACTTTTAAACAATCCTCCTTGGTCCAAAAACTATTACTTCAGTTTGTTTTGAATTCAGCTAAAAAAAAATTGGCACATGGATTGATTTATTTACCCAGAGATTGAATGGGTTCACAGCCACCATAATGAACAATAGAGGGGAAAACTAGGCCGGCTGTGAGTGAAGAAGTGTCTGACATGTTTTGATGTTAGAGAATCTGGTACATAAATAAGAAGGTGAAAAACTGAAGCATGTTTTATTGCATGAATCATCAGGCTGTGGATTATATCTGCAGGCCATGCCAGCACATTGCATTCTATGGAGTTTATTTTTTGAAACGCATTCATAGTTAATTAAGCTTTCCTTAACTCTTTAAAGCCAAGTGTATCATATTTGACATTGATTTTTCGAGACCACTGCAACATGTGCTGTGTTTTGTTCTTTTAACCCTGACCTACACAATCAGAAGCACGCAGTGAACAGAAAACGTATGAAATATTATCCTGTATCAAAGTTGATCCAAATAAATGATCTATTTTACCTTAAACAAAATGTATGTTTTTTTAATCTCATATTAAAAAAGTTCAAAGACGATTCTAATTTTGAAAAATTCCAAATTTCTGTCAATTATTTCAGGGTTCGGGCTTTAAAGGGTTAAGCAAAACATAAGTAAACACTGTAATTATGACAAAAAAAAGGAAGAATTGTTTGTTGCCTACAAGAAACAACTGTTGGCTCGCACCAAGTGTTCAGCTGCTCAGAGAAGGCCATCCTTCTTTTACACCTTTTTTAACGTTAACAACATTTAGGCTTTTATTAGATTCTTTTTTTTTTTTTATTCCCTTGTCCGCCATGCCTGTCTAATCCTAAATCCTGGTGAAGTTGAGCGAGAGAGACGCACCTGCTCGACTGTTTCACTTTGGGACAAATCGTGATCGTTGATTGGTTGTAGCAAGGTTGTGATTTGTTTTCCCAGTGAATATAAATGTAGTGAGATCATAACATTGATATCCTAGCATTTAATCCAAATACTTCTATGTAGCATAAACATGAAAAAGAATCTTTCACTTTGTAAACACCCAAAGAAACGAACTTTGGAGCCGTATTTACAGTTCAATATGTTGAAGTTTCTGAAGCATTGTAATTATTTTTTAATCCAACATTAAACATGGGCATGATTCATGAAGAACTTTATATGAAAATATATGATGTGTTTATGAACATGAAGGAAAAAAATAGAAGCGTTTTCCTCTGTTCTGAAGAAAGTATTATGTTGTAAAAGCATTTTTCCTCGTTTTTCTAATAGTTTTGCTCGTCTCCTTTCATTTCATCTTTTTTCCGTTTGTTCTGTGCTTTTAGTTGATTAGAGTTTTTCATTAAAGCTTCTCACTTGGATGAATGCTGGTTCATTATAATTATTTTCCTTTTTATTCGGATAACAGCTGAATAATACAGTGTTTTTTTTTTTATCCACAAAACCTGCCTTTATTCTGCTGCTTTTGCTCATAGTTTGCCCTTATGATGTAGTTTACTTCTTACTTTGTCCTTTCTTGTGTCTGCCTGAAGGTTATCCTGTTCTCAGAAACAAAATTGAGTTTCCAGCTGCAGGAAAAGCAGCAAACAAAGAAGACTGGAATAAATTTCTTATGGCAACAAAGGTGAGATAGACTTTTGCTCATTTTGGGAAACAGGAAACCGCTTTACTTCATTTGAATATAGACGAATATGTGGGCATCAGTATACTTAGTTTATTTGATTTTTATTCTTAACATGAACAAATCAACACACATCCTTGGATTTCACTTGACTATAGATTATTAATGTCAGCCCCCTTCATTTATTCATTAGAATATACACTCACCGGCCACTTTATTAGGTACACCTGTCCAACTGCTTGTTAACACTTAATTTCTAAGCAGCCAATCACATGGCGGCAACTCAGTGCATTTAGGCATGTAGACATGGTCAAGACAATCTCCTGCAGTTCAAACCGAGCATCAGTATGGGGAAGAAAGGTGATTTGAGTGACTTTGAACGTGGCATGATTGTTGGTGCCAGAAGGGCTGGTCTGAGTATTTCAAAAACTGCTGATCTACTGGGATTTTCACGCACAACCATCTCTAGGGTTTACAGAGAATGGTCCGAAAAAGAAAAAACATCCAGTGAGCGGCAGTTCTGTGGGCGGAAATGCCTTGTTGATGCCAGAGGTCAGAGGAGAATGGCCAGACTGGTTCGAGCTGATAGAAGGGCAACAGTGACTCAAATAACCACCCGTTACAACCAAGGTGGGCAGAAGAGCATCTCTGAACGCACAGTACGTCGAACTTTGAGGCAGATGGGCTACAGCAGCAGAAGACCACACCGGGTGCCACTCCTTTCAGCTAAGAACAGGAAACTGAGGCTACAATTTGCACAAGCTCATCGAAATTGGACAATAGAAGATTGGAAAAACGTCGCCTGGTCTGATGAGTCTCGATTTCTGCTGCGACATTCGGATGGTAGGGTCAGAATTTGGCGTCTACAACATGAAAGCATGGATCCATCCTGCCTTGTATCAACAGTTCAGGCTGGTGGTGGTGGTGTCATGGTGTGGGGAATATTTTCTTGGCACTCTTTGGGCCCCTTGGTACCAATTGAGCATTGTTGCAACGCCACAGCCTACCTGAGTATTGTTGCTGACCATGTCCATCCCTTTATGACCACAATGTACCCAACTTCTGATGGCTACTTTCAGCAGGATAATGTGCCATGTCATAAAGCTGGAATCATCTCAGACTGGTTTCTGGAACATGACAATGAGTTCACTGTACTCAAATGGCCTCCACAGTCACCAGATCTCAATCCAATAGAGCATCTTTGGGATGTGGTGGAACGGGAGATTTGCATCATGGATGTGCAGCCGACAAATCTTCGGCAACTGTGTGATGCCATCATGTCAATATGGACCAAACTCCCTGAGGAATGCTTCCAGCACCTTGTTGAATCTATGCCACGAAGAATTGAGGCAGTTCTGAAGGCAAAAGGAGGTCCAACCCGTTACTAGCATGGGGTACCTAATAAAGTGGCCGGTGAGTGTAAAGTAGCCAGACAACGCAACTTCTGGTTCAAGGGTCAAACGGCGCCGTCGTCCAATCAGCGATGTCTCATGTTTCCCACTGGTACCTACCTTTTCCGGTAGGTTAATGTAATTGTGTTTTCCTTAATGTAGTTGCGCTTTGCTTTATGTAGTTTTGTTTCTCTTAATGTAGTTGCTTTGCTTTATGTAGTTGCGATTTCCTTAATGTAGTTGCGCTTTTAGATTTGTAGTTGCAGTTTGCACTTCAGGGCCACCGTACAAATGTGTATAATATACAGTGGGGAAAAAGTCATTTTTTTCTTAAAATAAGTGCATTTGTTCTTGGATTGAGGAGGTAAAAGACACATTTTGCCAATGGAACAAGACAATTTACATTTCAAATAAAAAAAACAATTACATTGTCTTACTTCAAGTGCATATTATCAAATTATCTTATTTTAAAAGTATCTAATTAGCATATTTTAAGAGTAAGAATACTTATACTATCTCATTTACCTACCCAAATTAAGGATACATACACTTAATTTAAGACATTCTTTCTTTTGTCTAGATCATTTTTCCAGTGTAGGTAGAAATAAATCCATTGTGTTTGTTGATTGTTTTCCATTTTCTAATACCTAATGATGAAAAGATAAATAACTAAACTACATTTCCATAAAAGCAGAATGCTTTCAGATTGAATATGTAGTTTTGTATTGGATCTAGGTTCAGTTCATATTTTAATTGATTCACGTTCTAATTTGAGTTCAACATTATAGCGTAATGACCCTAAGATCTAATCTTTAATCTATTCTCTTAATGTTGTTTGTATTTGATCAAACAGGAAAACGAATCAGTTGATGTTTATTTGTGTTTATCTAACCCCACAGACCACTCACAGTCCAGAGTGTCAGGATGTCCTTAAATTCATAAGTGAATGGTGTGGTGGTCTACCAGCGTCAGGATTCTCCTTCCACTGATGGGAATCCTCTCCGTCGTACACACTTCCATATTCCCTAGGTGCAACTTCTTCTCTTTTTAATTTCTAATACATGTTTATTTCACTGCCAGATTTTCTCTGCTCTCTCTCTCTTTTTTTTTTTTTTTTGTTAAGCAATGTTCAATATCTGAACATAGCTTAGGTTCCTTCCATAAAGGTTTTCAATTGAATTAAAGAAATAGACAAAAAAAAAATTTAATACTGGATCTTATCTAAAGAATTGTGATATAAATTTTATTCATATTTATACTAATAAATATTAACATAAATGATTGGAAAATAATAGTTCATATTTGAATGAATACGCTTTTTTGAGTTAAATTTTGGTAAAGCTAAACTACCAGCTTAGCCTTAGCATTTAGCTAGGCTAGGCTAATTTAGCCACAATTCTGAATTAGGCTGATTTTAGACCCAAGTAGTGGCTTTAATTTGAACAAATGTTCAAAAGATGTTTGTCCCCAACACAATTATTTCTACAAACTACACTTTTTCCATATTTGCAGAGTTGTAGTTTAACATGAAATTAATAAAAGAGTGCTAGCTTTAGCTGTATGTCCAAATAAGCACTATTTTTACAACTTTTCTGATAGTTACACAGTAAAAAATAATAAAAATATACAAATTCAGAGTCTTTATTAAAATGACTATAAATCAGTTACTGCTATAAAGAAAGAAAAAAAACAAGGCAGCACTTTCAAATTGGTGATTTTATTAACAAAACATTAAAGCAAAAAGGTTTGTTATATCTCTAACTTAGATTTATATCCTCCTCTTTGGATGTCAATCAACAGTTCACAGCATATCATATGTATAAATGTTGACACAGCATATCATATATATATATATATATATATATATATATATATATATATAACATATAGATATATGTTAGATTGAAAAGCTCTGAGGATGATGGAAAATGTGGAATTTTTTTAAAGCGCAGTAAAGGTTACTGAATAAAAATAAGTGATCTGTAGTTATATGGAACATTTTCACACAATATATAATATTTTCTATATTCTGGTGATTTTCAGAGAATTTAACTAAAAGTATGGGTCCTACTAAAATGCTTGCATCTACTGTAAACTGAGAATTTGTCAACTGTGTTTATTAGTAATTCTATTCAGTTCAAGTAAAATAAGCAATGCGAAAAAAATGCATTATTACTGGATTACTAGCATTAATACAGGAACCAGTGCAATCAAATCCCATGGAAACTACACTGTGTATGAATATTTGGAAATAGGCTAAGGATTAAAAATCTTAATTCATTATCTTACTAAATTTTTACGGTTTACAATTCAGACCTTCTAAGAGGCTGTAGATTCTATAAAAACTCAAAGTATTTCTATGGATGTTTCATTTTGGTAGATGTGATGGAAATAAAGTTTTTAAACATATTTAATGGACCAAAATACATCCCTCTGTTTCCTCCTCTATCACTCCTGGATAACTGAGTTGTTCTGCACATCCTCTATGTATGTGGTTGGTGTTTTCTTGGGTGGCTGATCTTTTAAAAATTAAATGCATTGGTTCTTTTCTTTTGTGGACCTCCCATAGACTTGTGAGGCATATCTGAAACCTTTAGAGATTTGTGTTGGTTTAATTAGTCCTAAAATCCAAAGGGAGATTATTCAACTAGACTGAGCAATAATTATTTTACTTGTGAGCAAAACATGGACTAAAACTGGGACTAAATCAGGAGGCTAAATTAGAGGAAACACGGATTAAAGCTTGACGAAAAAAACAGCTCTAGATGTAGAGAAAACAAACCATTTGATCTGATCCTATACTCCTCATTGATTATTTAAGCCAGCTGCTGTATAGTTTATTCATATTTACTTAAGTACTTTGTTTCAAATCTTCATTCATTTACAAAATTAATGATCTTAGTCCAGATAAGATAAGAATTAAATAGCATACCTCGTAATAAATACTAGTAAAATCCCAGTCTTTTTTTTGTATCAGTTTTTAATTCAAGTGAAATATTTAATACAATTTCATTCATTGAACAGCTTATATAAAAGTATATATTGAGCTGGTAAATTTACAGTTTACCATATGTTGAATTTTGATATGTATTTTGTTTCATGTAAAGAGTCACATAAGTAAACATTTATATTTGTATTTCTTTTCTCTAATTTCTTTTTCTCAGGATGGCATAGAAGATAAAGCCAAAGGTTGACGTCTTAAGCTTAAATATGTTTTCTCAATGTTATAAATCTTCTGCATGACTTTATTTCCCATCAGTTATAAATATATTTAATGTATGCGGACTGAAAAGTTTCCTTCTGTGTTTTTAAAGCCAGTAATGCCTTTACGGTGTGTTTCCAAAGGAATGTATTGTCTTTAGGAATGTCTAAATAAAGTTTTCAAACACTAAAAGCCTTTTTTTTATGTTGTGTAATCTAAAACTATTTTTTTCTGAGGTTATTAACCAATTCCAGGGGAAGAAAAGTCATCAATTATATCTAGCTGTAGAGACCTCAAAATTGTAACCTTTTTTTTAACACAATGCATTAGAAATGCATCCATTTTTCAAATGCATACACATAATTTCTAATAACTGCACCAGTTTATATGTAAAAGAGGAGCAACTATTGTCATTTGATGTGTGCATTTCCATGGCTGTGGGTCTCTTTTCATTAAATCTGGACTACATTATGATTCAGCTTCTGTTTGTGTGCGTTGTTGGGCGGATTTGTTCAAAAGCAGACTTTCATCTTAATAGAGTACATCCATTGCTGCTGCATCTGTGTTACCTTCTCAGTATGGCTGCCATGACGAGTCTAGTTAGAGGAATTTTTTTTTGACGGGTCTCTGAGATGCATTTTGGATCCTAAGATTATTCAGATTTCCTTATTTATACAACTTATGTGCATTCAGCAACTGTATAGCTTTAATTCTTTTTTTTTTCAGGATTATTTAACTATGCATTTCCTTTTTTTATCTATTTGTTTTAGTTGTTTTTTTAGATTTCTCATTGGCCTTTCTGTATTATTTTGATTTTTATGGAGATCTCTTAAGAATTGAAATTTTTTTTCTTTGTTTTATTCAAATGCTCTCTCCTTGTTTTGTGTATATGTATATATATATATATATATAAATATATATATGTATGTATATATATAAATATATATATGTATGTATATATATAAATATATATATGTATGTATATATATATAAATATATATATGTATGTATATATATATAAATATATATATGTATGTATATATATATAAATATATATATGTATGTATATATATATAAATATATATATGTATGTGTATGTATATATATTGTATGTATGTGTATATATGTATGTATATATGTATGTATATATGTATATATATGTATATATATTGTATGTATGTGTATATATGTATGTATATATGTATATATATGTATATATATTGTATGTATGTATATGTGTATATATGTATATGTGTATATATGTATAAGTATATATTTATATGTATATGTATGTATGCGTATTTATATGTATGTATATATATGTATGTATGTATATTTATGTATATACATGTGTATATATATATATATATATATATATATATATATATATATATATATATATATATATATATATATATATATATATATATTTATTTATTTTTATTTAGTTTTTATTGGAGTGGCAGAACGGATGCCCCATATTCTGGGGCCTAATCCTCGAACAGCTAACCCAGGTATGAATCCTGACCTGGGGGAGTTCCACCTGTCCTCCGTTTAGTTAATGATGAAATTAATAAAAGCAAACACTAGGGCTAATTTTTCAAAGTGATATTTGTGCAAATTAATTAGCTGAAGGTAAAAAAAAAAAAAAAGAAAACTACTATTACAGTAGTAGCCATTCCAAATGTCCCCACTTTCCTTGATGGACCCTTGGCTGGTCCCCTACGATTCCTTCTTAAAGATCTATCTTTGTACTAAAATATTCTTTCTGTTGTTATTTGTGGACATTAAGATCTAAAGAGAAGCATCAGACCCTGTAATTCATTGAAAGGGTCGAGTCAGAGAAAAATAATATGCAAGAAGGGGTCACTCCAGAGGCTGGAAGGTGGAGGGGATTTCGCTGGGAGTTGGAGGGTAGTGGGCAGCCATTCGGCTGGCGTTTGACTGGGAAGGGCCAAATTCGAATGGCTGCTACTGTAAGTATTTTGGATTTCTGTGAAATGGGTAAAAGACCAAATATATGAACTTTTTGAAAATATTTGTCGTTTAACCCAAAGCTGCTGTGGATTTAATCACAGGTGAACCTAAAATTCTATAATGTTTCTCAATTTTATTGTGTTTTCTCACTGAAAATATAATCACAGTGTTTTTGGGTGTTTTTAATCTAATTTCATTCAACTTTAATATTTAACCATCATTGAAAATACTGGTGACCTGATCATCCCCATCGTGGCTGAGCTGTTCCTCGATGTCAACGCTGTCTCCATCGTCGCAAATGGTGTCTGCATTGTTCAGCACACAGACTGTGTCCGGTTGAATCTTCAGAAAGTGTCCGTCTGTTGTGCCTAGAAAGGGGAACAGCGGCTCTGTGGAGCTGCATCGGAACTATTGTATGAGCGTCTCCGGGTCAAAGAATCTTAGAACTCCTGCGTCACAGTTCAGATGAACCCGGATCTTCTGAAGCTTTTTCTTAACTGGAGGATCGAAGACTGAACGAGAAGGGGAAAATGCCTTGTAGGTGCCTTTATAATAAGCTAAGGTCCATAATCCGGACCGTTGTCCCAAAGGTCCCTTTCTTTTCACAGACTCTGGTGCCACGCCCAGCATCCAGTGCTGGTTCTCCCCCAGCTGTGAATCCCAGATGTGAAACCTTCAGAGCCGAGGACGATGGAGGAGCTGTTGAACCTTTCTGGATTGTCTGGAAGCTCTTGGCTCTCCCCCCATTTGACGCCGGTCAGATGTTTAGTCAGTCTGAGTCCTGGGTGAGCCGTGTTTGGATCCAGAATCACAGGGAAGTACAGGTCGTTCATTTTGCTCCAGATGTTAAAGCTGAAGTCTGTAAGTTTTTAAAAATCACTTTTTTGTCATATTGGCTAAAACTGTCCCTATGCCCAGACAGCAGTACATGTGATATGTAACCTGTGAAAAAAACTGCTTCAATTGGTACCGCCTACTGCCTGTATTACAATCTGGAAAGAATAATTCGGGACGAGTCAAAACAACCAATCACAGCCAGAGGAGCGTCTGATGGAGTGTCAATCACAGCTCACACACACTGAATTCCGCCCCCCCCCCCCTTCTGGTCGCATGCGGTAGCCGCGCAGATGCTGTGAGAGGGGTGGAGCTTGGAGGTGGGGCATGAGTGAAGCAGAGAGGGTGGGGGAGTGGCGTGAAACCTGTTTTTCTTCAAATTTTCAGTCGAAGTCTGCTCTCTTCTCAATGTTACAGACTGCAGCTTTAAAGGTCAGATTGCCCTTGTGTTTGGCTTCATCCAGAAGAAGTCCAGAGAGCAGCGGTGGATGATCCATTTGGGTTTGCTGCCGGACTCGCTCTGCTGCCGCCCCACGGCGGCGCAGGAACAGAAGATCATCAGCTCTCAGCTCCTCCCTCATCTTTGTGATTGCTTCTGAAAGAGTCGCCATCTTTTTCCTCAGATCCTTCACTCTCTTCTTTACCACTTCACACTTTTCCTTCTGCTCCTCCCTCACAGCGGCAATCCTGACCTCTGCCTCTACCTCCAGCAGCTCATGAAGCAGCTTCACCTCCTTCCTAATCCGCTTCTTCACACATTGAGCCTGGACTTCAATGTGGTTTCCTGTTTGTTCATGTTTTTCTCTGACCTCTTTAAAGAGCTTAAGTTTGTCCTCCAATGGCTTCAGCGACGCCTCGAGCTCTTCTCTCTGATCTCGAGCAACTTCTTCGATGGGTCTGAACCTGTGATTGGCATGTCTTTCTGAGTCTCTGCAGATGAGACAAATAGGCTCCTGGTGCTCCAGACAGAGGAGCTTCAGTTTCTCGGAGTGCAGCGAGCAGAGCTCCTCCAGGCTCCTTTCCTGCTCCAACAAGAAGGCCTCACAGAGGTTCTTTAACGCCAAGTTACGTGGAGGCTTCTTTCTTCCAGAGATGCGTTTACACACAGGGCATTCAAGCTCCTCTCTCCTCCTCCACCAACTCTGAAGGCAGGCCTCACAGAAGCTGTGGCTACATGACAGCAGGACCGGGTCTTTGTAGACATCGTGGCAGACAGGACAGCTGAGGTTGCTGTCGGCTCTAAAGGCCATATCCTGTCTGAGGGAAGCAGAAAACAGCAGTAAAAATAGCAAAACCAAGTTTGTTAGTAGTAGCAGCTGTATCGAAATGAAAACTCACGTTTAATAACTCAAAGAGGTCCAGTTTTTGCAGGTTTTGTTTTTTAACCAGAAGCTCAAAAGGCAGAGTGAGTCATAGAATGGGCGATGCCAGAGCTGAGTACTGTCGGTGTGGATCCTCCCTTTGCCTACAGTGGAGCTGAAAGAATGCGGAAAAACAAGAAGGCAGGAGCAGGGCCACATCCGCTATGTGGGGAATACAAAACAGATGCATAAAGGCTGAAAAGTAAAGAAAAGTAAAGTTTTAAACTACAAATCATGTTGAAAAGAAGGAGGGAATCACTTTAACTCTTTATAGGGCACTAGGTGAAATACTTCGAAAATTTAAAAAAATTCAAGCCAATAATTTAACCTTGTTACCTTTGGAACATTAAAAAAATATTTCTGATACGGTCAGCTTAACATCAACATGATGCAACACATAGACTCATGAGCTATAAGAAGCAGGAGATGACCTTGTTCGGGGCTCAATCTTTGCCGCACGCTCGCGGACGCGATTTTTGGGCCCACAGCTGTGCAGCTCCAAGCATTTTCTCTGTCCTGTAACGACCTGATCTGGAATAAACTTTGTTACTTTTTTACTCCTGTTTTATAGTTTTTATATGGTTTTACCCAGTTTGAGTTAAGAGTAGTAAATAACTTGCTCCCAAGAAAAGAACCGTGAGGAAGCCCCCGAGGCGCAACGGCTTTTTAAAGGGACAACTTCCTCATTTTAACAATATTTTGATGTGAAAAATGAAAGTCAATGTAATAACAAGAAACACTAACTTGCCCGAATATATTAAGAAAAATAACAAAAGTGCTTCTAATAAAAATTCATGAAAAACACTGAGACTAAAAGAAAAAAATTTCTTGGTACAACATAAGCTTAGAGACTTTAATGCTGATACTTGCACTTACATTTTTTTATTATAAACCTTAAAATAATATTTTTTTAGCTTTACTTTTTAACTTTACTCTTAGGTTTTTTTTTTTAACCTTTTTTCTTGAATTTTTCCCTTTTTTCTTTTCACTTAATTTACAGTAGGTAATATATCATTCAAGGGCTTATCTAATTGGTCAAATGCCAAAGTAAGACAGCCATGTAGAAGAATCTTTGCTGAATGACTGGATATAGATCTTGAGCTTCTAGACCGCACTGAAAGACAGGGGGACTCTATTTTAAAGGGTTAAATGATCTTTGTTCTCTTAAGAAATGCTCACATGCTGAATTCTGATTAAATTAAATTTAGGCTCTAAAGCAGTCGTGTTGGGACAACCTTTCTACTGTGAACTCCTGTTTCTGACTTTGGTTGAAATAATCTTAGCGGGAGGCTTCTTGTAGCCGTCCACCAGCCTCTGACCGTGATCCCAGGAAAGGTTTTCCCTCACTCATCTCCTCCAGCAATGAGATATTCCAGATACTTCTTCCTCATCCTGTTTTAAATCCCCCATCTGCATCTTTAATCACAGCAAGATCTGGGATTTGACTAGGCCAAGGATTTTACACTTCTTTGGTACCCAGCCAGTCGTTTGCTGAGCAACAAAACAACGGTTTGTTTTGGGTCATAATCATTTTGTAGGATAATCAGCATGGACTTTATCTGATGGTGTCGGTTGATGCTGTTTTTTTCTTTTCTTTTACTTTTAAAAGCAACAAGAATCCCTCACTATATGCTCACAAACAACACCTGCAGTCATATTGATAGTCCAGTTTATGCACATTTTATTTAGGAGACCAACTCACCCCATTCTGTTTCTACGGAATAGGATTAGGGCCACTGAAAAAAAAAAACAAAGTTAACTGATTTTTAAATTTTATTTCAGTTTAACATTCTGACTTTTTTCTCAGAATTCTGACTGAATTCTGACAATAAAAAAAGTCAGAATTCTGAGAAAAAAGTCAGAATTCTGACTTTAATCTCAGAAATTTTAGAAAAAAGAATTCTGAGATTAAAGTCAGAATTCTGACTTTTTCCCCATACTATACTGAAATAAATAAAAAAAAATCAGTTAACTTTTTTTTTTTTCAGTGGCCCTAATCCTCTTCCGTATGTTTCTAATAGACAATAAGAGCAAAAAAAATAAATAAATAAATAAATAACACATTCCCACCTTTATAGAATTTGGTAACTGTAAGTTACAAAAAATAGATTTTCAAAGTAAGAACATTGAAGAATCTATACAAGGTTTTTAGAACCAAACCTTCTTTTTAACTCTAAGTTATCATTTGTTTTTTACTATTTTATTTTCTGTTTAATTTCTAAATAATAAAACTTTAAACCTTTGCTCTGAGTACTTCCTTTCCTACAGAGTGCCATCTATACGGTCCAAACTTGGAACAAAAAAACAACAACATTTTCCTACTCTGCCCCACTAACATGGAATACTCTGAAGTTAATTTAATTAAGATGGATTTTTTAATTCTTATTACTTGCACCTGTATTTGTAAAACCTTTTTTTATTTATTGATTGGTTTAATCAAACATGTCTCGTTCAGGAACGGGATCTTGGACTGCTTGTATAAATAAAGGTTAAATAAAAAAAATTATCCACATTAATGTTATTTTTTTTTTTTTTTTTGAACCTCAAAATAGGATTATATTTGAACTTTGAATAGGCATTTGTTCAGATAAGTTTCCCTTTATAACTGTGCTTCAAATATCAATTACCAGCTCTTATTTTGAAAAATCCTCAACCGTCAATATAAACTGAAGTATTAAAACTTAAACACCATGTTTTCCCCTGAAACCACAATCCTGATAAACACAGACACTTTGTAGTGGTTTGTTAGTTATGAGATTCTAACAGTATTCCACAAACACTTTAAAGTTGTTGTCCTCCCGAATCACTAATCCTGCACTCTTTGCATAGTTCACAGGTTTATTTATTTATTCCTATTTGATCCATTCATGTTAAAACAACCTTGATATTAACTTTTCAACGATAAATCTCTGTGCAATTTACAATAATATATTTATTTCCTTCATGTCTTAGACATTTTCTGCTCTGTTTGAACATGGTCTCTTATGTTTCTGACTGAAAAAGGATTGAAGTAGTCGAATGATGGAGACTATTTCATTTCTGTAAGCTTTCTGATGTAGGTTTGGACTCAAGAGCTTGTATGGATGAAAAAAACATTAATGTAAAAAAACTTGTAATGTAGGATCCTTTAAAGTTTTGTACAGCATTCTTGAGTTATTCATCTGTTTGTTGGAAATGTTTTTCTTTAACAGAAACAACTGAGCTCAAGTCAAAATAAAACAAATTTAAATATCAGTTATGTTAATGTGCATCCTTTATTCTGCTTTGCCAATGACAGGATAAAGGAGGTGCATCCATCCATCCATCCATCCATCCATCCATCCATCCATCCATCCATCCATCCATCCATCCATCCATCCATCCATCCATCCATCCATCCATCCATCCATCCATCCATCCATCCATCCATCCATCCATCCATCCATCCATCCCCTCAGCATCACCCTCCAGTCCCTTCTGTAGGACTGACTCCTTTCCATGTGGAAAAGCAGTTGCTCCGAGCTCCTTGTCGTTTTAATATTTTCCCTGGCAAAGCTCGGCTGAAGATTGTGGCAAATAGTGCTAAATGTTTATTTCACTGACTGTAAAAGACAGAATTTCAGCATGGAAGTACCGTCTATTGAAGTAATGGAGGTTTACATAAGCTTTATCAGGCATTAAAATGTATTTTACCTGCAATGTTAAATAAACCCAAGCAATGCTCCTCTTTTTTATTTTTTTCCCCCAAAAAGCTTCTTCAAGCTGTTGTCCTGTAGGATGGATGGAGGGGAAACTAGAAATACAGATGAGCAACTCACATTCATGGCTGATACAGCTCCTCATCACCTTAAATACACATGCACAGGAAATATTTGGAAGCAGCAGGTATAAATTCATCTGGATAAACCTGCATATTCTGGTAAATTATTATTTTAACTACCAAAAGACACAATAAAGATTGAAAACTATTCTGTTTCTGCTGACTTCATGTTTAGCTCCTCACATTATCTCTAAAGCTGCTGTGATTAGAGACCGATTCAGACGTTTTTACCTGGGATTTCTTTCTTTCCTCTATGGGCCATGTGTAATCTGTAGGGTCATAGGTCATAGTGAGGAGATTAAAAATAAGGCTTTGATTTTAGCCCTTAGCAGGGCCCTCATTCTACAGGTACAGTAGGGTCTCAATCCACCACTATTGGTGAGCAAGACAACACTTAACTTTAACTTCTGCACTTAAGGCTTCGGTTTTCCTCTGATCTTTAGCTTTCCATTAAGAATCTGGGTTCCTGTTTTGTAGATATTTAGTTTAAAAAGTGAAATACACTAAACCTTATCTTCTAAAACTAAATTGCATTCTCACGTTCTTTTGGTTTTATCATATGAATTTTTTAAAAGAAGAAAAAAAGACAGGAAATGATTCGTCAGATTTGTTTATTTGTCAAAAATCATATAAAACACTGCGATACATTATTAAGAAACAGGAGAAAATAAATGAAAATTTCATAAAAATCAAGCAGAAGTTATGTTGAAAAGGACATTTTGAAAAAAAACAACATTTAAATAATGTTATCAGCCATAATGCTAGGAAATAAAACTTGCTTTTATCCGATGTGTAAAAACATTTTGTGCCAATATGGTCTTTGTTGCTCACAACAGTCAAGGTCAAAATGAAAAGCCTGCTTATACAAAATTAAATCTACAACAGAATCAGGATCTGGATAGTCTGAATACATTTATTGTTTGAGCGCCAAATTCAGTCAAATAAACGGAAAGAACCGACATTAAAATGCAAGAGTTATAAATTCTTCCCCTATAATACGACTCATTACCTGCTTTCCCAGCAGAGGTTCTTCTGTACATCTGCGATCAATATTAAAGTCTGCACATGTTTGAGGAAAATGCATTAGAGTAATAACTTGGATTTCCTGCTCACCTACTAAACATGTCACTTTTTATTTATTCTGCTGCATCCAGTCGTTGTTTTACACTCATATTGGGCATGCATTATGAAGATCTGAATAAGAGCCTTTTATTTTTTCTAAAATGTTTCCTACTTGTTGAGTTTTATCTGGATTATTTTATTGCATTTCACATTTAAAAATCTTGTCAAATAGTTAATTTCTCTGCAGCTTTATTTACAATCTTAGCCGGAAAGTTTATTCTCTACATTTCTTTGGTAATTTTACTGCTCTAAAGCCAAATCTACCAATTTAAAGCAGGG